CAGCTCAAACTCCGAGCAAAGGAGCGTGGGCTCAGAGGTTATTCGCGCATGAGGAAAGCCGAGGTTCTCGAACTGCTGGAGGAACACAAACCTGTCGAACTACGGTTCATGCGGAAGAAGCAGTCAGTAGGTAAGTATCTGAGAGGCTGGAGGATGGACGTTGACAAAAACATGGACGTCAACGACATCAAACCGCTGGTTGCCGACAAAGTCTACTGAGGTCCCGACGCGGCCGAACGATTTCTCATGTGTTTGCAAAACGAAGAGAAATCATCAGGAAACAGTTGTACACCATCGTACCCATGTGCATGATCCAAGACGACTGGCGAACTCATAAGAAAACTAAGAATTGCCACGTGTGGGATGAACCCCTGAACCGGCAAGTACAGAGGTGCCGCTCACAACGCGTGCAACTTGAAGCTCAAAATCGATCCCAAGACCATCAAAATCCCTGTCGTGTTTCACAATCTTCGCGGTTACGATTCTCACCTGATCATGCAGGCCATCGCGAAGGTCGACATAACGTGCATCCCCAACAACATGGAAAAATACATCTCGTTCTCTTTAGACGGTCTGAGATTTACTGATAGTGTTCAGTTCCTGCTGTCGTCTCTAGACGGTCTGGTGAACGCCAACGACACGGACGACTTCTGCATCACCAATTGATACACCGACGCCAAGACTCGACCTCTGCTGCTGAGGAAGGGCGTCTACCCCTACGTGTACATGGACTATTGGTCTAAGTTCGACGAGACGCGATTACCTCCCATCAACCAATTTTAAAGCAACTTGATCAATTCCAATATTTCTCAAGACGATTACGTGCACGTGATTAACGTGTGGGACAAACTGGGCTGCAATAATTTGGGCGATTACCACGACCTGTACTTGAAAACGGACGTGCTTCTGGCCGACGTGTTCGAGATATTCAGAAAAACGTGCACGAAACAGTACGACCTGGACCCTGCGTGGTATTTCTCATCCCCCGGTCTCTCTTGGGACGCCTTGTTGAAAAAGACCGGCGTGGAGCTGAAACGGATTACGACATGCACCTGTTCGTGGAAAAAGGCTTGCGAGGCGGGATTTCCATGACCTCCAAACGATCGCCAAAGCCAACAACAAGTACGTTCAAGGTCATGACCCTGGCAAACCAACAAAACACATACTCTATCTCGACGCCAACAACCTGTATGGCTGGGCCATGAGTCAGTATCTCCCCATCAGGGGATTCGAATGGGTCTCCTCGCCGGAGATGACTGACGTGAATAACATCACGCCGGGTTCGAACAAATGCTACATGCTCGAAGTGGACTTGGACTATCCCGCAGAACTACATGAGTCACACAACATCTATTCAGCTAGCTCCAGAACGATTGACGGTGAACCCGGACTGGATGTCCGAATATCAACGAAACTTGCTGGGAGACAACAAGCTGGTTGTCGTCGAAAAACTCATGCCTAACTTGATGAACAAGTCAAAATACATCATTCACTATCGCAATCTGCAGCTGTACTTGTCGCTGGGAATGAAACTCATGAAAATACACAGGGCGCTTCCAGTTCGATCAAAGTCCATGGATGGAACCTTACATTCGGTTGAACACGAATCTGCGAAAACAAGCCACGAGCGACTTCGAAAAAAACTTGTACAAGCTCATGAACAACTCGGTGTTCGGCAAGTCAATGGAGAATTTGAGAAAACGCGTTAACGAGAAATTAATAAGAGACAGCGAAGAAGAAAAACTCAGGAAACTCATAGCTAGCCCGGCGTTCAACCGAAGCAAGATATTCGACGACGACTTGGCAGCGCTGCACGTGAACACATCAAATTCAACCGGCCCGTTTATGTGGGGATGAGCATCCTTGACTTATCCAAACACTTGATGTACGATTTCTACTACAACGAGCTGAAAAAGCAGTACGGCGACAGATGCGAAGTGCTGTACACAAATTCCTTTCTGATGGAAATTCACACCGAGGACTTGTACGAGGACATGAAGAAACACATGCACCTGTACGACACCAGCGACTACCCTAAACATCACCCTATGCACAGCCAACCAAGTCAACAAAAAAGTGCTTTGCTAGATGAAGGACTAATGCGCGGGCATGCAATCGCCGAGTTCGTCGGCTTGAGACCCAAGATGTATTCCATCAAGAAAGCCAACGACGATGAAATCCGAAAGGCATGAAATAACACGTGGTGAAAAAACACATCAAACATGCCAGATTCAAGGAAGCCCTGTTCAAGAATAAAACGTTCAAACACCACATGAACATGCTGAGAAGCGACGGACACAGGATATACGGACTGAGAGTCAACAAGACCTCGCTGTCTCCCATGGACACGAAACGATGGATCGCCATCGACAGAGTCACCACTTGGTACGGGCACAAATGCGTATCGAATAACTGAACGCTTACTCACACATGCGAACATAAATCATGGAGAAAATTTATTACAGTCAACGCGGGTACTGGAAAGGCGCGGACACCATCCCGAAACTTGCCAAAGCCGTTCGAGTCTCGGAAGACGTTGCCAAAGCTTGGCTTAAAAAACAAGTTATCTGGCAAGTCTACCTGCCCGCGCCTTGATACATCCCGAGAAGAAAATTCGACATTTCAACGCCGAATCGCGTCCACCAAGCCGACCTCCTGTTTCTCCCTCATGACAAGGTGAGGTGTAAAACCTACAAGTACGCCCTGACAGTCGTCGACGTCACCAGTCGCTACAAGGAAGCCGAACCGTTGATGACCAAAGATTCGAACGAAGTCGCCAAAGCCTTAGAACGCATATACAAACGCAGTCGCTTGACATGGCCTGCCGTATTGCAAATCAATTCCGGATGCGAGTTCATGGGAGCCGTGTCACAGCTGCTGGCCAAGCACAAATCCAAGCGAGACTATGTGTTGCAGGAGCTCACCGTAGCTAAGCCAAAGTCGAGAGATTCAATTGCACCTTAGCCAAACATCTGTTCTCACACCAATACTCGCGGGATTTAATGGATCCCGGAAACAGAAACACTGAATGGGTCGCGAGTGGTAGATGTCATCAACAACGAAGTCACCAGACTCATGGGCAAGAGACCGTCGATGCCATCAAAATGAAATCTGTCGAATCGCCGTCGGCAGCAGCACATCGCGATAAAACAGAGAAAACATTACCGGACCGGGTCAGCGTTAGGTACTTGTACCCACCGGGAGAATACGAGGGAGACAGCAGAAAACGCGCCAACGATCCGATATGGTCCCTGAAAACGAGCAACATAGACCTTGTTGAAATCAACATAGACCTTGTTGACATCAAAGACGAGCATTCGGCAGAGAGGAGTTGAACCCAACTTGTACTTACTTGAATAGACGGACCGCCTTGCAGCCTATTTTTCTGCTTAATGTTCGCAGAGAGGAGTTGATGATCGCAACCTTTTCCGACCGCCACCATGCTCACTTAAAATATCGTCCCTTACACATCACCCACCAGACGTGGTGGATGATAGTTTCTCATCATGATTTTTATCAGTCTTGCATGCCTATTTTATTAAAGCTTAAATGTAGCCAGCAAGCCAGCCAGCCAGCCAGCAGCAGAATAAAAACGTATTGCAACAGTAAGAATTTTTATCAACGTAATCCACTGAAACAACACGGCCCCCAATAAACAGTAGCTCACTTATCAATATATAAAAGATACTAGCTAAACCTCTATAGAGAACTAACTAAATTAATCAAAGGATATAGTGTGTCGATTTTCATCAAATTTTGGCATGAGGCACATGGGTAGAGGGTGGCTGAGTTGTGGAAGGGAGGTAACCTCGTGGTGTACTAATTAGTGATTTTACATTGAAGGGAACTTCAATTAGGGACTGTTCCACTATGTTCGCAGAGGAAGGAGACAAAAAAGAGCATGAGTCAGGATTGTAAATTTTTCAAAATTGAGCAAATTTTGGATGGACCTCAGTAGTCACAATGGGGCTACGCGAGACTAGGGACTTCCCTAGGGATCAAAAAAAAAATTTGTACAATTGAGCCCTTAGCGGCTCTACTGGTGTTCAGCACTTGCTGGTTAGATGACATGGTGTTCGTGAACATCACTCCTAGGTTCTTGACTTTGTCACTTGGATCAACCAGAGCATCTCCAACTACAAGGGGACAATTTGGGACCTTGTTCAGTTGCTGTTTGGTACCGATGACCATGTACTCGGTCTTGTCGTCATTCAACTTTAAAAAGTTGCTAGACATCCATTTGCGAATGTCCTGAATACATCTAGTCATATTGTCCTGGGATCCTGAAACTGCGGTTGGTTTCACACTGATGTACAACTGGTTATCATCAGCGTATCCATGTAACCGCTGAAAAAGAGGAATTGAGGCAAGCATAACCTACGTAATGAAATATGAAAACCTTACAACCCGACTTCAATGGCTTACAAAGCCAGCAGAAGGGATAAAGAAGGGACCACGCGGTCCGCCATCTTGCCTGCCACATGACTGGAAACAGCAGCACCCCGGCAAAATTACAACAAATCATGAATGAAAAAAGTCGTAATGAAGATTCCAGCTAGCCATACATACAGAATTTGACTCTTTCTCACTCATTTCTCTTTCCTAGATAAGGCGCAGATGTGTCTTCTACCGGACCATGCACAACCGTTCTTGACAACGACAGCATGAAAAGTGAGGTACGAGGTAAGCAGCCAGAGTTACCTGCTCTTGGCTGTAGGGGGCCCTGTGAGGGGCCCTGTAGGGGTGGCCTCACTTAACAAAACAAGTTTTTGTTTGGTAAAATATTTTATTGAAATATTGTTACAACTGTCGTCTGTATTTTAAAATGGACATTTTAATGCTTATATGTACCCCAAGGAGGACTTCTTCTGAAAAAGAATGAACCTTAAACAAGTGGTGAAAATACCTAGTCAATTCTAAACAGATGAGTATTTTGTAAACACTGTTTAATATCACATCATCCAGGGTTGTTTCTGCCTCCATGGTATTGTAACACCTACCTGAGTGGAGGTACACCTGGTGGTGAAGGCCTGCTTGTAGATCCACTCTGCTTCCTCCTCTAACTCTCCCTCCTCAGTCTGACGGACAGGGATCTGCCGCAACTGTAACATAACCAGTTGTTACACATACATCACTGTCCAGTATTCCACGCAATTTCATCACAGTAAAAGCTTCTCAAGACTCATCTAAAACAGTGGACTGACCAGGACATGGAGCCAAACATTCAAAAAACAAACATACAAAAAACAAACATAAGCCAGTCATAGAACTAAAGTTACTAGCACCACAGATAATTCAATATTTTCTGCATAAGAACTATGTAATTTTCTGAATAAAATTGATATTTTATACTTATCCTGACTCATGCTTATTTGCTTGTCTCCTTCCTCTTGCGAACTTAGTGGAACACTTGTATCTCCTATTGAAGCTCCGTTTTGGGGAAACTGTGGCGCCACCGTTCCCATATGCTTCACTCTCTCCTGATTATGAGCCCGACACTTAAATTTACAGGGAAATCCAAAGTGTCTAGCGGGGAGGTTGGGAGGGCTTACCTCATGAGTCAGGATAAGTATAAAATATCAATTTTATTCAGAAAATTACATATTTTCCCTTATCCTGACAGATTTGGTGGTGGGTCAAGCTACTTCTGGATTTCATGTAGTCATTTACGTCATATATACCCCCCTACGGGAACTTCTGCTGGCACTTCTATTTTACTGCTAGTCTGCTACTGCTGCGACCCTGTACTTCCAGCTGTCTTTTGACGGGGGGACCACAATAGTTAACGTTTGGTCCTTTCTTCTGTTAACATTTTTATGTGGATTTTGCGACTCCATCCCTTGATGCAAGCACCAAGTGGAGAAGCGACCCTTTCCTGTACGAGTATCCTTACAAGTACTGGGTCCTATCACTTATGCTTGTCCTTAGACGTGCATTAAGACTTTAAGCAGAACTCTGCGGAGTGTAGGGTTTTTTCAATACATGTGATAAAAGGGCGAGACTTCGTCTCAACCCCTTTGAGGGATTGTCAACTGTTGTGCTACAACCAGCGGGCCGAAATGGTGAATGTCGGAGACGTCCTCAGTGGCGATGTCCCTCAGGTAGTGGTTTGCAAACACCATGTCCGATTTCCAAAAGCAGCCCTCCATTATCGTGCATTGATCGAAAGCAATTCCCCATGTAGAGCTGAGTGTTGACGCTAGAGCTCTAACTTCGTGTGGGTTGGAGGCTTTTGGAGGATCAAGTCCTGCTGCTTTGTAGGCCCGTAGTATGACAGTTCTGATCCAGATTGATATCGTAGTGCGGGAGACCTCTGTCTGTGTCGCTGTTGATATCGGGATGAAGAGACGCTTGAATTTCTGTCTCCTGATCCTGGATCTTTGTAGATATACTTTCAATGCTCTTACTGGGCACAAGGATAGGTCCTGCGTATCTTGTGGTCCAAGGACAGATGATAATGCTGGGATGTGGAATTGTCTGTCCGGTTGACCTGGCAGTTGATTCTTTGCTATGAAGTCCCAACGCAGTCCCATATGCACAGTGTTTTGAGTTTCATCAAATCGTGTTCTTTCATAGTCCAGAGCATGTATTTCCGACATCCTTGCTGCTGTTGCTAGGGCTAGCAGGAACAGCGTCTTATGTGTCAAGAATTCAAAGGATGTCCTCTCTAATGGTTCGTAGACGTCACTGGTGAGATGTCGTAGAACAACGTTGAGGTCCCACGCCGGAGCTTAAAATCTCTGTTGTTGGTCCTCCAATTTATAAGAGCGTAGTAAGGCCAGTAACTCTGGTACTTTCATCAGCTTGGCCCCTGTCCTCATGGTGATGACTGAGCTCAGTGCCGCTAGGTATGTTGAGAGTGTTGACCCTTTTAATCGCTTTGTTTGCCGTAGGTGACAAAGGTAGTCCGCCACTTGAGGATGTGTCGCTTTTATGGCTGTAAAACCGTTCCTCGCAGCGTATGTCTCGAAGCTGCGCCACTTGTCGTCGTACAAGTTACGTGTAGACTTGCGTAGAGCTAGTGTTACTGCTTTCGCTGCCCTGGCGGAATATCCTCTCTTGTTTAAGCACGCCTTGATACAGTCCACACGTGTAGTCGGAACACCCCTGGGTTGCCGTGCGCCTGCTTTGTGTGAGGATGTACTAGTAGACCAGTAGTTTGGAGAATGGGGAACCATACTTGGCCACCAAAATCAGTTGGAGGTCCTTTGTCTGGCTTATTTTCTGCAACACCTTTGGTATTAGAGCTGGCGGTGGAAAACGCGTACGCGGCGTTTAGTCCTTCCCAGGATATGCTTAGAGTGTCCGTTGCCCATGCTTGTGGATCTGGTATTGGTGAGACGAATGTTGTCAGTTGATTGTTGAATCTCGTGGCGAAGAGGTCTATTAGCGGTACTTCTATCTCTTGGATGATCTGCTTGAAGATCTCTGGATGTAGCATCCATTCTGTTGGAGATGGTTGCATTGGACGGGAGAGGGCGTCTGCTATCACATTCTTGGCTCCTGGAATGTGGCATGCTCTTATGTGGATGTTCAGATTGTCTGTTAGTTCGAACAGATCCTTGCTTGTTTATGTAGAACGCCACTATGGAGTTGTCCGTGTGCACCATTAGATGGGCATTCTGTAGAATGGTGGTCCAGTGGAGTATGGCGTTTACGACTGCTTTCATTTCCAGCATGTTGATGTGCAGACCTTCCTCCTCTTTGTGTGCTCCCCAACCTTGGAGTGATGCGTCCACGTACAGATGTGTCTTGCACTCCGGCTCTGCTAAATAGGTGCCTCCGCAGACATTCGATCTCTGGGTCCACCATAGTAGATGTGGTCGTAGTACGTCCGGGAGTCCAAAGGATTCTGGATCGTCTAGATGAGCATTGACGAAGACCTGTAGTGGGTGTAGTTGTAACCTCCCTCTGACTGTCATGTCTTGTGCTGACGTGTGGAGACCCAACAGACTCTGCAATTGTCGTAGTGGCCACGGAGAGAGTAGAGCTTGCGAGATTGACTGTTGTATCTTGAGCCATCGGTCCTCTGGTACTACTATGCGGTTCTGCGTCGTGAGGAACCAGATTCCTAGGAATTGCAGGTCCTGTGTAGGTTCTAGGTCCGATTTGAGGAGATTCACTAGCCACCCCAGTTGTGTAAGCAGTCTGATGGTGAAGTCCAGCTGTAGTCTGAGATGCTTGGGATCTTGATGTACTTGAATCCCGTCGTCTAGGTAGAATGCACTGCGTAGACCTCGATGATGTAGATATGTGACTATGGGCTTCGTCACCCTTGTAAACAACCAGGGGGCCGATGATATTCCAAATGGCAGGACCCTCCATTGGTAATGTTGTCCGTCCAGTGTAAACCTGAGGTACTTCCTTGAGTCCGGATGTACAGGAATATGCAGGTAGGCGTCCTGTAGATCTATGCTGGCCAGGTAGTCCATTGGACGGACGAGGTGGAGTAATTGAGGTAGATGGATCATGCTGAATTTGTGAGGTCTGCGTAGATAATCTCTGTTGAACGCCCTCATATTGTAGATTAGTCGGAACTTTTCTTTGGAGTTTTTCTTGGGTACTAGGAAAACTGGGGAGTAGAAACCTGGTGTGATGTGGTCTTGATCCACTACTTCTATGGCTTCCTTCTCTAATAGAGATGTAACAGCCTCTCGTAGCCTCTCTGTCCGATGGGTCTTGAAGTCGAACTTGTGAGCGGCGGCGGAGCTGCTTGTAGTTGTATGCGATATCCGTCTCTTAGGATGCTGGATACAAATGGATCTTGTAGTAGTCCCCAGTTCTCCCAGTACAGTTGAAGGCGTCCACCCACTTGTGAAGGTTGTACAGGAACGGCTGGGGGTGTAAACTCCAGTCGTTCCGAACCCCTCTTTCATCGTCGATGATCCCTGGCGCCTCTGGGTGCCCTGCCTCCTCCAGGTCGTCCTCTATAGTTGCCTGTTGGGCGACGAAAAGAGTCCTTCCCACCCCTGGAGGTGTTCATTTTCTTGTCTCTTGCTTTCTGGAGACCGGGGAACTTTGACTTGCCCAAGTAGCGCTGGGATGTCTGCCTGATGACACTGGCCAGTGTATCGATGGACCTGATCATGAGGACTTCTCTGGAGTCTTTAGTGACTTCTTTGGCGACGTCGTCAATCTCTCCAGAGAAGATGGATGGAGTCGACCATGGGGCTTTGTAGAGGGACTGAGTGAAGCCGTCACTCCAGTTGCAGGATGCGAGGAGACCTTGTCGTCTTGCCAACGTCAAAGCTGCAGAGATGGATGATAGATGGTCCGTCATAAACTGGTGGTCCTTCTTCTGCATCAGGAGCGCAGAGTAGATCATCCTGTCATCTTCCGCAGTAGAGTCCCTGAACTTAGCGATGAGCGTCTCGTTTACTGTCCTGGATCTGTTGAGGCCGAAGAACATCCGCCTTGTCATCGTCTCTATTTACGCCAACTTCTTGTCGTCGATCTTATAAGACTTGGTCTTGGAGTCGTTGATGACTTTGTAGTTATCGTCGATCTCCTGCGCTTTCAGGAATGGGTCCACGTCGTGGAACGAGAACTTCTTGGCGTTGAACTGTGGAAGATGCGTCGCCTGAGATTTCGTGGCCTTCTTGAAGGCTGCGTCTAAGTTCAATTGTTGGTAGAGTGATCGTGTCGACGTCAACTTCCTGCATCAAGTAAGTCTGGGTTGCATTCTCTTCCTTAGAGGGTGACGCTAAGTCCAGACCGTTGGCCATCCAGTATCTGATCTCCGAGTCCGAGAAGATGATCCCGCCGTCTTCCTCTGTGACAGGTGCGCTGATCAGGGAGTGTTGATCCTCCTCCGATGGTGATCTGTGTGGTGATCTTCGCGGCTGCGGAGACCTGCGTGGAGACCTTCGTGGAGACCTTTGTGGAGACCTTCGTGGAGACCTGCACGGAGATCGGCGTGGAGAGGAGCCCGGTGAACTGTGTCTGTAAGGTGACCTGCGTGGAGACCTGCGCGGAGGTGAGCGTTTCTTGGTTCGCGAATGCCTCGGTGAATCCCTCGACGATCTATGCGACGTTGAAGATGTCTTTGAGGCTGTGTCCGAAGTCCTTCGCTTCGCTGGTCCTGAAGCGGAGATCTGTTCCCGGTCGTCACGTTGATGGAGGGCCTCTTCGAAGCGTCGTCTGCGTTGGAACCTTCGCGAAGGTCCGGGTCCGCTCTGCGGGCTGGTTGTTGATCATGTGATGCCTTCTCCAGTGCGAAGCGCCTGTCCATCATCTCCATGATCTGCTGTGAGAACTGCATGATGTCTGCATGATGTCTGCGGTGAGAGATGAGCTGCCCTCTCTGCGTTGGTAGCGATATGGCCCAGGGATCGCTCATCTGCCGTCAGTGTAGATACCTCGGACTGCGTAGACAACTGCGCTGATGTTACTGTTGCTGAGGCCCTCTTCTTGCGGTGATGTATCTCGGGGATGATGAGCGGCTGCTCATCGTAGAGTCCTCTTTCCGTCCTCGGAACAATCTCGGCCGAGAAAGTTCTTGAAGTCTGCGCAGACGTCCCCGTAGAGTTGGTCGTCGTCTTAGGGGTGGGTAGCCTTCTCTGCATAGAGGATGGCTTCTTTTTCTTAGTCTGCGATGACGGGATGTCCGGAGCTGCAGCCCTCTTCTTGGAGGTGGCGGACAACGTCCCACACCCGTCCCCCGAGGAAATCTCCGACGCACCACTCAAGGGAAGAGGGTCGTCTGACATCAGTTGACCCGTGAGGGACTCAGCCGGCTTATCCATGACTTGAGTAAGCCGTCTCGACCTATCTGCAGCATGTCTAAGTACGCAAAGAAGGTATTTATTAAATGCAAAATTGGTTAAATGCTGACAAAAATTGCAGCGCGAGCTGGAAGCACATGGCGTAGTGCAACTAGGGCACAGTTGATGCGGGTCAGCAGCAGAAATTCTAAATCTACAACGAAAACAGGATTTCATGAAATGTAAACAACTGAACAAACACGGACAAACCGTAACTAAACAGTGCAAAATACGAATAAATTTCAACCCATATTGTTGTAAGATACTAGCTAAACCTCTATAAAGGTAAATAAAGGGTAATAACTAATTAATAAAAGGATATAGTGCCCTATAGGAGACCCAGGTGCAATCCCAACCGCTCGCTAGGGCGAAGAAGGAGAGAGTGAAGCATGTGGGAACGGTGGCGCCACAGTTTCCCTCCAAAACGGATCAAGGGATAACTCTTGGTGAGTAGTGATTTTACGTCTGTTTTTATTGAAGGGAGCTTCAATAGGAGATACAAGTGTTCCACTAAGTTCGCAAGAGGAAGGAGACAAGCAAATAAGCATGAGTCAGGATAAGGGAAAATAATAACTACCACTAATATCAAACATGACATATAGTCATCCAAAGGAGAAACACACAGCAAGCTCCCCCAATGCCACAATTTCAGAGAATTTTACAGAGGGAATTTGCATTGGAGAGCATGGGCAAAATGTGTGATGATGTTCACAAACTGTACGTACATGTTGAGCACCAATACTAACTACACAGGTACAAATTCCATCACAATGAGTAAGTGAGTGAATTTGGTTTTACGCTGCTTTCAGCAATATTACAGCAATATCACGGTGGAGGACACCAGAAATGGGCTTCACACATTGTACCCATGTGGGGAATCAAACCGGGGTCTTTGGCGTGATGAGTGAACGCTTTAACCACTAGGCTATCCCACGGACCCTCACAACAGGGAAGGTTAAATTAAAATTTACAAATTCTTGAATAAGTTAATGTGCCTTTCGAAGGAAATAGTGCATTCAGTTTCATTAGTATTGAAATTCTTCAAAGGCATTTAGAAGGTGGTGTAGTAATAGAAGACAAATCTTATGGAGAACAACTTCTTTATTTGTCTCACAACGTTTCTGGGCTAGTTTTTGCCCCTTCTTCAGGTGCTATCCATAAGATTTGTCTTGCATTCATTAGTAATAGTATTGTAGAAATTGAGCAGAAGTTACAACAGATGATATACCAACAGGTCATGTTATAACCTCTCTTGGGATGTAGTCAGATGACCTCAAAATGCATCTTATGTCATTATGTGGTTGACAAGGGGGATCCAGCTGACCTACCTGGAACCTCTCCGGCATGTCTGTAGTTCGAATCTGGTTGTCCATATCTGTGAAGTGGCCTCGCTCCAGTTCACTTGGCTCAAATACCTGAAAACACAACTTAACTTTTGTTCAGGGGGAAATACAAAGAAGATCTCTGCAAGTACATTCCTAACTGTGGGTGCTTTGTCCAGTATCTTTTACTGTCAGGTAATGTTGACTATCCAAATACACCAGAGACCCATACTGAGGGCATACAGTATGTCCTTACTTCAAATATGCTCTTCTTGCTGGCCTTCTTGCGAGTTTTCTTGACCCGAATCCTTGTCTCCCCATCTTCACCCTCGACCTCATCCTCCTCCTCATACTGAAACACACACACAGATGAAGCCAACAGTGCTGCTCAACATGGAATCAGCAACACAGATTTTCTCAGCTCACAGACATCATGGCACACATTGAGCTTACTGCACCAGTGTCTGTCAAATGCCATTTACCTAACCAGTGTTTTCAAAACTGATATAACCAGAAACATTTTAAACAATTCATGAGATAGATGGTGTCTGTTTCTTACAGTTACACACACTAAAACCGCATCATTTCAGCACAGAATCAGTGCATATTTTGCTTATCGTCATAATCGTGGTAGTGCATGAATGTAGTCATTTGTAATGTCATCCAGGCTACTGCTTTCTAGCCGCAGCTAGTGACCATCCAAGATTCCACAGAGATTCAATGTCTGTGGATTATCAAGCGGATCACAATTTAACAAAGTAGACGAGAGCAAAGGACATTTATAAATACACTAAAACCCTCAAGTTTTCACACAGACATAGGTGAATATGACTGAAGCATGATTAACTTATCCATGAATTACAATCAGAAAAGTAGTCTGTCACAGTTTCCCCTGCGCTTATTACCATGGAGTAACACAGACCTGAAATTTGTTCTCAGTTCTGACACCATTTATCTAAAATGGTTTCTCATCCACAGGTGTAAATGAAATTGTCCTTTCACAAGTTTTCAAAGTATGTGCAAACCATATCCAATCAAACAAATGTCTAAATCCTATATATATAAACATTATAGTAATCTGATACTTTCAGTAATTGTGTACAAAGCTGAACCCACCACTTCTTCTTCTATATCTTCCTCATCCTCTTCCTCTCCATACTGAGCAAACTCCTCAAAGTCATAATCAACACCAAATATATCCTGGGCTGCCTGCAATGCCCTGCAATGTCACACAAACATTTCAGAACGTAAACACATATATCTCATATACTCATGTGTGTCACTAGAACCTGACTGTGCATACAGGTATGCCTTTTAACCCATCATGGTGATGGTTTTGTTTTTTATTTCATGCCGCACTCAGCAATATTATAGCCATGACAACAACCTGTAAACAAGGGTTTGAACCAAGCAAACAAGTGATTGATATAATGAACGTGTCACATTGTCAATACAATGACACACAATCAACCAAGTAACCTAGCAAGACCACCCAATCCACTTACTACATATCACCACCTATAAAGCAACCCAACCTATAAGGCAACCCCTCTGTTAAAACCTTCAAAACAATGCTAATTTATATAAACCATTTACAAAGCGGTTGAGAAGAAAGCACATCACCAGTATAAACACAATTCCTACATTTCCAAGAAGGCCATGTTTGTCTTCCGTTGCTCTTATATGATACTTGATCATGCACATGGCACCATTTTGTGTGCTGACACGGTGCAACGCCAAACTGGTGACCATAAAAAAACTGTTCCTATCAAATCTTTAAACAAGTTAGGCAAAGGGAGTCTATTTTATGCAATTAAGTTGCAAAATAACTATGTCTTAATTTTCTAGGCTTAGTTTGTTTGCTTTGAGTATGTTTATTCAACTGCCTCCATTGCACACCTTCTTCAACACTTGCTAACAGATGTAAAAACATTTCAGGTTCAATGGTAAAATATCACATATCAGGTCACATGTGAATCTGGTCGTTGACATCTCAAGTGACTAAATCACTTGTTTCCACCAGATTGATCAGAAACACATGTTGTGTTCTGAACTAGTAGAAAAAATGGCATTGACCTGAGCAAAACATCATCCTCCTTTTCTGAGAAATATGGGGGATCTCATCCGTTACTAGTAAACCATGGCTCATGCTTACAAAGCAACAATCAGCTGCAAATAACATATGGCAAGAAACACTGTGAAACCTACAAATAAATCTACGACCATTTCTACTACCAAGCAGTTGTTGGAAAGAGCTTCTGTTTTTATTGAACAATTCAGATAGGATTGACTTACGAGTCACTGTGAATAATGTGTTTCTTCTTCTTTCCTTTACTTATAGGTTTTCCCTCCTCATCAACAATGAAGTCATCAACATCTGTCAAACAGGAACCAGCAGTGAGTGAGTGAAGTAAACTTTAACTCATGACGAGGGAAACAGCAGAACAATATCATATTAAACTTATAATATCACCAAGAGGACCCTTTCATAAATGTCTGTCTCCTTAGTAACATTTCAGCATGTTCATTTTTAACAGTCAATAAGTATGAATAGCTTTTGATTTCATGTCATATGTATGACTTTATAGAGAAACAGCACAAATACCGTCACTTTCAGCTGCTGGTTATGAAAACACCATAATGTTGGCCTCACAAGATATCTCCAAGTTGAGTCCAACATTACTGTTGTGGACACACAGATTACAATTTCTCCGTACCTGATTCTTCTTCTTCTTCTTCATCCAGATTGCCAAATTCATTTGTTTCTTCAGTTTCACGTGCAACCACTGAGCGCCTGTCATCCATGTCATCACCATCATCATCCCCACGCCCTTCAAACAGTTCATCCTCTATCATGTGCTTTCCATCCTCCTCGCCACCTCCTTCCCTGTCACTGTCTTCATCAGACATCACACGGATACGCTTCAACTTTTGCTGCACACAGAACACATTATCAAAACATTTCAACATTACTCAATAACTGTAAATGAATCTATATAATACATTTCAAAATATACTAAACCAGTACAACTAGTGAACAATGGTAGCTACATCTGATCCAAATAGTTTGCAAATAAACAGGTTCAGTAGCTTATTTCATTTTAGTAGAGCTCTGAGCCCACAACAGAATCTTACTGTACCTTTCTCTTGACTTTGATGCCAAGATTCTCTTCAATCAAATCATAGTCATCATCCGAAAGTTGGTCATCAAGCTGGTCATCAGAATCATGTTTACGTTTGCCTGTCTCTCCATCACCTTCTTCCCCACTTTCCTCTTCCCCTTCTTCTTCTACATCTTCATTTATGAAGTCCTTCATCTCTTCAGCAATCAATCGCTCATCTATGTCATATGACACAATCACATGAAGATCAACCAAATCATAAATGAGATAATATAATGATACACACTGTCCTGGTACAAAGATATTCCTGTTTGCTCACCTTCCACTTGCTCCAGTGACATATTTATAAAACTACTAACATTGCATTATAATTGATACAATTTAGAAAGTTTTACAAATCAGCATATCCATAACCATTGATCATATCTCAACCTGCCACATAACCTTATTATAGAAATAATAAATGATATGTTAGTACAAAAAGTCATCCTACCATCCATATCTTCATCGTCTTCTTCATCATCAGATATTCTAGCTCTTGATTTCTTTTTCTCTTTCTTCTTTTTGACAACTTTGATTTCTGATTCGGAGTCATCTGCTGAGGATGATCCTCCATCAGATACTTCAGCTTCATGTTCCAGGAAACCTGACATTGTTGGTATTTACAGGTTGCTGGCATACAAAGGAAATACACTAATCTGAAAGCAGAAAGAAAATAAAACAGGATGTAAATTAAAATGTATTGGTTGAACAGCAATTTGTACACAAAAGTATCAGGCACCTCACATCATGATGACTCTGTAATTGGCCAAATGATACTGACATGTTCAAAGGGGTAGCCAAGGCAGTCAAACTCTGAAATTCAACATCACTTTGTATTTCTGTAATTATTTTTAACAACATTATTGGTGTGCCCACACAATTTGGGACTAACAAACAGTATCTTTAAGTTTAACCTCTTAGACACATTATTTTTACAATTATCCATGCTCATAAGCATGCACATGGCGCTAACACATTTAAGCCCGGATAACTCAAGCTGCCTCTAGTCATATGACATATCTCACTGGGTAACACTGACTGAGTTTGGTTTTACACCGCTTTTAGCAATATTCCAGCAATATCACGGCGGGGGACACCAGAAATGGGCTTCACTCATTGTACCCATGTGGGGATTCGAACCCGGGTCTCCGGCGTGACGAGCCAACGCTTTAACCACTAGACTACCCCACTGCCCCACACTGGGTAACACACCATCCTAACATCATGCAGAGACATACATTGACATGATATGTACCTACAGTGAAGATTGTTAGTAACCTGTCCTAATCCAGTATCTCTAAGGGCTGTGACCAAAAATTACAGATACATCACATAAACACCTTACTTAAAAATAAGATTTAGAAAAACACTTGTGTGATGTAAGAGGATGATGCAAATTTAATTTATTAACTGCATGAGAATTTCCAACAAAATTAAAGCCTCCTTTCACCCAAAATGCACAGCCCTTTACAATCCTTTTAATTTAATGTAATATAAGAAAAGTCTGTACAAGTTTCACAGAGAAAACCAGTCCTGCGCACAATGGTGGTATGCAATCAGGTTCTGATGACTTGGTAAACAAGCACCAAAAAGTGCCTGTAATCAGGCTGGCGAAGTGAGTATGAACTTCCATGCAGAACTAACTGAAATATGAAAAAGGGAAACTGTTCAAGTTCAGTTCTCCCATTATTCAGTTTGTGAGGTGAAAACAAGACCTATATTGTTACTTAGCTGATGGGATTGTACCATAGCCAAAATCAGAAACATACCCTACGATTAGTGCATTGCGCATTGTGTTGTTTCCTTGATCAGAACTGTCATACTGTTGTATTACATGTATTTGATACTGCAGTAGTGTTATACAGGAAATAAGAATACACAATCAAGAAGATTTTGTCATGCACAAGACCACTCAGAATCATTTGAACTGGAACTACATACGGTTTCAGTGTTTGGCTGGGAATATTGACTTGTCCCCGTTTTGGGTACTAGGTACATTTCTGTATTTTGAATTTGTTTATGGTACATTTCTGTACACAGAAACTCTCCTTGGGTACATATCTGTAGTACCTATGCCGACAGCAACCCATTCAGCGAAGGCTTTATTAAAGCAGTAACTAGTTCAGCCAGCTAATTTTGTTCCTACCAAGGTGGTGTATATCTTGGTAGAAACAAGACGTTTAAAGTAAGGAGTAACATGACAGAATATGATTACGCTTCAGTTTTATTTCTGTACAGAATACATTCTGAAAAAGTCAGTTTTCATCTTTATGAGCAATTTAATCATGGAATGGTAAATTCTGTTGTTTATTTTCGTAGTTCGTTTAAAAGCAATATCTCTGAAGTAGAAAACTCCAACTAGAAAGTAGCGAGTATACCAAAATTGTCTGCAACTCTCGATGCGGAAAAGTGACCAAGGACCAAACCAATGTCTTCTTAGCCTCCCTACGTCGCTCAAATACCTAACGGTAGATTCAATTCACATCATGTCAATAACACTTCTTTCGTTTCTGAAAACATGCGAAGGAAAATAAAACCACCATTACCTTTCGGAACAGGAAGCGTAAATTTTGTGCGCAGTAATTGAAACGAAAGGTTGCCATTGGCTGTAAATGAAAGGCAAGGGAGATAACCCATTTATTAAAACTTTTGAGAATATTTTTATGAATTCAAAACACAACAATTTAATTGGAACATTAATACTTTTACCACCCATTAGTGGGAAGTCAGGTGGAACCGGGATACAATGTTGTTTCTTATTTGAATAGTAAGTAAACAGAAAAGGCCTTGCTTTGGGACCCTTTAACATCAGCAAACAGTGGGAGGAATAAAGTTTGATAACTAAAAAGTTGTAGTGTCTTTCACATTTTTTTAAACAATGAGTGTACGAGCACCAGTTTTTGTAGGAATACACAATGCTATTTAGAAAGTGGTGAAATGTAACGTGACCCGTGAAACTCCGGGCTAGAATTGATCTTCAATAGTAACCCATACTTGGGTAAGAGGCAACTAACGGGATCTGGGGGTCTGGCTTGCTGACTTGGTTGACACATGTCATCGGTTCCAAATTGCGTAGATCGATGCTCATGTTGTTCATCACTGGATTGTCTGTTCCAGCCTCTATTATTTACAGACCGCCACCATATAGCTGGAATATTGTGTGAGTGCGGCGTAAAACTAAACTCACTCACATTCCAATTGCCAATATGTGAAGTCAGCGATCCAGATGCCTTGTCTACTTGACTAGTATTCCGGGTGTCACAATGTGCCATGTTTAGTAGAATGGTACATAGTCTGTCTTCCAACCCTACTGACAGAGATTATATATTCAAATTCAAGTCTAGAATGATTTGGTAAGTCTAGATTTAAATAGGAAACTCTACTGGGTCCCTCTTAACTTTATAATTCCCTAGGTATTTTTATGTTTTTAAGAAATGGTAACAATTACGTTTCACTTTTATTGATTTAAAACAGCGTAACAATATTATGTAGATTCAGTGCCTTGTTCAGTCCGTGGTAAAACGCGACCTCTCAAATACTGAGTTCGTAATCTTTTGTAGTTTATCCACAATTCATATCTGAAAAAATGCTTTATGGCCGATTCAGCGAAAATCCTTCTTTAACTGCGGAAAAAGGTGTTCGCTCAATCGGTCCTAAAGGGGGAGTTGGTTCCGCATGGTATCACACCGAGTTTCGCGCTATCTGGATTAAATTAAAAACATGACACCACATAGAGAGGACACTTCTTTATTCCGACCAAGCAATATGACACAACGTAGATAACATGGAACAAATCAATGAAGCTGGAACAAGGGGTTTGTTTGAATGTCCATTAGTCATTACACAGATCAGTTTAGGTGAAGAAGGTCAGCAACATGGTCAAGGTCAGTGAGAAGCTGCTCAACGAGGTCTCCCATCCATGTCAATTCTAAATGCCATGTTATATGCATACATCACAGTTATTCGCAAATGGAAATAGAGAAAATAGACATAGTTACACCCATTGTGTGTACAGATCTAGTAGCCGTCAACTTGACGTTTGGGTCTCCATCCTCCTCAAAGAGTTTGCATCGTTACGATCTATGTCTAGAAACAGAACTGTTTTATGTCATGGGTTTACAAAAAGTCGCAATGCTACGCGTAGTCTGTCTCACAGTCCCTGAACCACGTTGTTTTCCCGACTGCTTAGCCGAATGTAGGAAAGAAAGTCACAGGAAAAATGCCACAATACCTTAATATAGTGGGTTGTAAAAAAAAATACCCCAAAACGCTATTTAACTGTTTCTTAATTAAAGGAATTACTTAGTATATTACTGTGGCAGGTGTATTTTAGTGTAAATATATTGTTTTAATCATATTATTATTCTCTCCTTTTAGCTATATTATTTCTAGGCAGTTTAAGGTTTAAGCTTTAGAGCTTGGCCTCTCTTACTAATTGCCCAAGCCATGACGCTTCTCGGCTGATTGGTCTCACTAACTCCATGCACAATTTCACTCATTCTGCACCGACTCTTTGCCTCATAAAGACAGCTTGGACAGACACACAGTGTGGTTAAGGTTAGTATTCATTTAATTAAAGTAATATTGCATTTCATCCTTGCAGTATATATATAATACATGCATATCTGTTTACTATCATTTAAATAGGTATTATATTGTATAGCATGTAAGTGTGCTATATGTATTTATGCTAGCTTTCCAATCCTAAGCTATAAACATAAATAAGTATCACTAATGTATTCTTATCTTTACTATCCCTTTCACTGAATGTGTGAGATGAGAGAATGTGTTTTAATATATGATAACTATAAGTGTAATTATCAATGTGTGGAAGTAATTTTATGTTCATGAATGTAGCAGCCTTAAATCTACTCCACATTACATTGTATATTATTTATCATCTAATATTATTTACAGCAGATAAGTCCCCGTCCATAAGACTGGTGCTGTGCCCGATTGGTGTACACCCTTGTACCACCCACAGGGTATGTGTTTATGTCTTTTTATATCCATGTATTTGTATATAGTACCATCACGTAATGCGTGGTGACGAATCATGTGTACTTTATCATTACGACTAATGCGTAATGACGTATTATTATTTATCTTGTGTGTATTACATTGTATGCATGTATTATCATTACGTTATTCGTAATGATGTAATATCATAATTCAAATATTTCATATGTGTAGTAAGTAATGTTATTCATGCTTTGAGTAACTACAGTATTATTGATAATTGTCCATATGTATTAACCCGTGTATGGAATTATATGTATCTTGTATGAATTGTGTGAGATATATATAATATTATTATATTTATTGCTACAGGGTGTCGTTTATCGTTCATCAATCTCTCATCCTACCAAATAAACGACCTCACAAACCAGCAGAGTGTTGCTAATCTTTGCTGCACGTTGACCCTGCTATATTACTTTGATTAGGTACCGTTCATAATTTATGACTGGAGGATGGGGTGTGTGGGGGTGATGTGTGTGGGGGGCGATTTTTATCGAGAACCATGAACATTGTGAACGACACCCCCCCCGAATATTTATGTACAAAGTAAGTGACCCCCCTGCATGTCATGTACAAAATCAATCACCCCCCTTCCCGTTTTCTAAGCATATTTTAAATATATTTTTTTGTACAAAGTTGCACACTCACTCACACACACACACACACACACACACACACACACACACACACACACACACACACACACACACAAAAAAAAATAGGTGATCCCACTTAAAACCATCATCACCCCACATCACTGGTTATTGAAACTATTTTCCCTGTGACTTTTTTCAAAGCCGAAATTGTGACTTTTTTCCTGTGACTTTCTTTCCGATTACCGCCTAGCCACCCCTGCAATGCTTAAGCTCTAAATGAAGCAAGTCTAGAATTTCCCATCTGACAGGGCCTTTTTATTCAATTAAAATTGGTTTATTTGTTACTACCAAAATTATGTTATGTTGTGTTGTGTTATATTCAGAGACTAAGTGTTAGTCTATGCTACGCGGTGTACATCTGTACTGGACAGAGCTGCAAGGAGCGTAGAGTAGTGAGGATTCAGTAAGTCTGGGGCACCACAGCGATTCATTGGTCATGTGATGAAAACATCACGTGACTGTAAATATGGCTACCTCTGCGTAGTCCATGTATATTAGTGTGTTCATCGTGCCTGTCAGTAATGTTCCGACTACGTCCATCAATAGTTAACAGGTACAAGAGTATTGCCTGCAAAAGCACAACTGCCCCGATGACCTCAGAGTTGCAGGAACTGGGACCACAGGCAGCTGCCATTCCGTTTGCTCATGCCAAACTCGGGCCTTTCTTCCAAGACAAACCGCAGTTGCACAATCAATTCACAGAAGATACAACTCTCCGCAGCTATCTCAGAAGGCACATACCTTCACAGGTGAACGATTTAACTGACCATTAGTCACTGTCAAAAAATGTCTACTATTTTGAGGTTAAATACAGCGAACACTTCCAAGAATGAATTCAAAGGTCAAGATTGTAAGCACTGAGTTCATTATGTACTGGCTACCGAACAGTTATCGCAATATTTTAGCGGTATTTACAAAATTACTCCGCCGTTCGTTAAATTAATGAAACAGAATTATTATGGTACTGAATTAGCTGTTCACCGATGTGTTCAGTTCGTTCAATGCCGCCGATCATGTTTTTATATAACGCGGCGGAAGGGTTTCATGGTAGTACAAATAGATGTTTTCTCACAACTGACTGTAACAGTTATCGCCATTCAGAATTTCTAATGCCACTCGTGAAATAATATATATTTATATCATACAGTAACCTCGAATAATTGATTGTGTGACTATTTGAGTGTTTCTTTTACAGTAGATTGATAGGGAATGAAACAATTAATGACTTGCGAACTTCAGTTTGCTATTAGGAAGGCATTTCCTATTCTCGCGGTACTTACGGATATCGGCTGAAAGAATAACACAAACAATTCTTATCGTATGAATGCTTGTTGTTTTTAAATGAAGGGTCTTCTCCTCTAACATCTACATCTATCAGCTGCCAGATCCATCAGGTGAATTACCACTCGTGAGCCCGGTGATAAACAATGCCATCCGCCATTGACGAAACGAGGCTTCTCCCATTCTCGCGGTATTACCAGGAATTAACATTATTGAGTGTATGTAAGAGCAATCCTGCCGGAAAGGGCGAGAAAAATAAAATGATATGTCCAAGTTGGTATAAACTCCCCAATATTCGTGACACAGCAAGATTTTGATCATTCACCAACTTGGTCCACCTTCCAGTTACAAGTCGATGATGTAAACAACCGCTAAGTGTCATGCATCGTGAAGAATTTTCTTTTGCTGTGCATGATTGCTGTCAAATACTGTGGGGGAAAAAATACCGGAATTGTAAGTGACCAGATTTATGCACGTGTGATACTGATTTATTGGCGATAACTGTTAAGAGGAGATAACGGTTCGCTAGCCAGTAGCGTTTTTTTAATTAATAACTGACAATGGTAATGAAGATGATATCGTAATGATTCAGATAAAATATCCCAATTTCTACTCTGCTGGTTCATCACTCCACTTGTTGTGGCATTGAAACTTCCATATTTGTTAAATGTAAAGGGAAACTAAAAGTCGAAATAGGGTTGTTAAGCAAAATTAAACTATACTGGCTGCCGAACAGTTATGGCCATATTTTAGCAGTATTTACATAATTACTTCGATGTTTGTTAAATTAATGAAACAGAATTAATTATGATACTTAATTAGCTATTTGCTGATGTGTCCAGCCTGTTCATAGCCGCCAGTCTTGTTTTTATATAACATGGTGGAAGGGAATCATATTGTTTTCTCACAACTGGTACAGTACCTGTAACAGTTATCGTCATTTCAGAATTTCTGATGTCATTCATGAAATAATGTAGATTTATCATAAAGTAACCTCGAATAATTGATTGTGTGACTAGTTTAGTGTGTTTTACAATAGATTGATAGGGAATATAACCATTATAAATGACTTTTGTGAGCGTGAATATGCTAATATATAGATCGTGTGACATCCCTTGACTAAGTTAAAAAAATTATACTGGCAAGCGAACAGTTATTGCTGCGTAACAGTTTTCGCCAATAGATCAGTATCACATGTGCACAGTTCCGGTCACTTACAATTCCAGTATTTTTCCCCATGGTATTTGACAACAATAAAGGACTGCAAAAGAAATTCTCCACGGTAAGTAACATAAGAGAAAATTAAAGATAAAGTTATGAACACTATAAATTTTTTTTATCTTAGTTGGGGGGATATCCCACAACCAATATAATCAAAAGTCATTAATTCTTTCATTCCCTATGAATCTACTGTTAAAGAAACACTCAAATAGTCACACAATAAATTATTCAAGGTCACTCTATAACACACATATATATATGTACATATATTATTATTATTTCACCAATGGCATGACAAATTCTAAATGGCGATAACTGTTATAGTTAGTTTTGAGAAAACAGCTTTTTATTAATTTTGTGAGTTATACTTAGGTTTAAAATAATAAATGAAATTAGTTTCATGAAAACATATCTGAACGATACACAAATTATACATTAATACTGAAAGTGTAATCCACAGAACAGGGTGATTGATTTACTCTCATTCAACTGACTTTCCCCTCAAAGAAATTGCCAAATATTTACAATGTTGACATAGGACATCACTACCGATGACAGACGACCAAGAGTAAAGCTTACGTGTTTACATTGCGGAATTGTGGGAAATATTTAGGGGAATCCAGCCAACTTGGATGACTAGTCCGATTAACAAATTATTTAACAGTTGATTGTTTAAGCAAAATTGGTGAAAGATGTCATTGACGACATTATCAAACAATTGTTGGAATATGTTAATCAAATTATAGATGAAGCAATCCTAGCTGCTATTCACCAGGTTGATTCTGAGGTCCTTGGCTAATAATTGATAAAATATATGATGAAGTGCGATTGTCTTGTAATGCTTGTCAATTGGCAAAATCTACTGTGTAATTAACCAGTGAGCCTTCAGATTTCCAGTATTATAAGACATAATGATAACTAAGTCAGAAACTCCTTCAGAACAGGTTAATGGGATTTGGGCATTGCAAAAACAGAATCTTGATGGTTTGTTGTGGTGGTAATCCAAAGTATCCAAATATAAAAAATTAGTGGAGAATGAAAATACTGATGCCAAATTGAAATTGGAAATGCTCAATTAATTGAAAACCATGGGTAAAATACAAGTCCTTACGGCAAGTGAGTTTAGTTTTACGCCACACTTGGCAATATTCCAACTATATGGCAGCGATCTGTAAATAATCGAGTCTGGACCAGACAATCCAGTGATCAACATCATGAGCATCAGTCTATACAATTGGGATACCATGACATGTGTCAACCAAGTCACAGAGCCTGACCACCCGTTCCTGTTAGTTGCCTTTTACGACAAGCATGAGTTACTGAAGACCAATTCTAACCCGTATCTTCATGGGATTGTTTTTTCTGGGATGAATTGTGGATAAACTACAAAAGATTACGAACTTAGCATTTGATAGGTCGAATTTTGCTGTGGATTAGCGAAAAAGGCACTTACTCTAACCCGGATCAGTGCAATGCAGTTGAGATAATGAACAGTTGGTGTATACCGGTAATTGCCCTTTAAATGAGACAAGTTTGAGTGCAATGAACACTCAAGTTTGTTTGTTGTCATGGCTGCTCATGACATTATTGCATCTTTATGGTGATTGTGTGTATACCATCTGGACAAGACAATCCACCATTATTGCATCTCTATCTGGACAAGACAATCCAGCATTATTGCATCTTTATGGTGATTGTGTGTATACCATTGCATCTTTATGGTGATTGTGTATACTATCTGTATACCTTTAGGGTGATTGTGTGATACCATCTTTATGGATTGATTGTGCATCTTTAGGGTGATTGTGTGTATACCATCTTTATGGTGATTGTGTGTATGGACAAGACAATCCAGCATTTTTCTTTATGCATCTTTATGGTGATTGTGTGTATACCATCTTTATGGTGATTGTGTGTATACTATCTGAACAAGACAATCCAGCATTATTGCTTTATGGTGATTGCCATCTTTATGGTGATTGTGTGTGTGTATACTATCTGGACAAGACAATCCAGCATTATTGCATCTTTATGGTGATTGTGTGTATACTATCTGAACAAGACAATCCATCATTATTGCATCTTTATGGTGATTGTGTGTATACTATCTGAACAAGACAATCCAGCATTATTGCATCTTTATGGTGATTGTGTGTATATCTGGACATCTTTATTGCATCTTTATGTGATTGTGTGTATACCATCTTTATCTTTATGGTGATTGTGTGTATACTATCTGTATACCATCTTTTATGGTGATTGTGTGTATACTATCTTCTTTATGGTGATTATGTGTATACTATCTGGAATTTTGCATCTTTATGACAATCCAGCATTTTGCATCTTTTATGGTGATGGTGATTACTGTGAATACCATCTTTATGGTGATTGTGTGTATACTATCTGAACAAGACAATCCAGCATTATTGCATCTTTATGGTGATTGTGTGTATACTATCTGAACAAGACAATCCACCATTATTGCATCTTTATGGTGATTGTGTGTATACCATCTTTATGGTGATTGTGTGTATACTATCTGAACAAGACAATCCACCATTATTGCATCTTTATGGTGATTGTGTGTATACCATCTTTATGGTGATTGTGTGTATACTATCTGAACAAGACAATCCAGCATTATTGCATCTTTATGGTGATTGTGTGTATACCATCTTTATAGTGATTGTGTGTATACCATCTTTATGGTGATTGTGTGTATACCATCTTTATGGTGATTGTGTGTATACCATCTTTATGGTGATTATGTGTATACTATCTGGACAAGACAATCCAGCATTTTGCATCTTTATGGTGATTGTGTGTATACCATCTTTATGGTGATTGTGTGTATACTATCTGAACAAGACAATCCAGCATTATTGCATCTTTATGGTGATTGTGTGTATACTATCTGAACAAGACAATCCAGCATTATTGCATATCTATGATGATTGTGTGTATACTATCTGGACAAGACAATCCAGTGATTGGCATAATGAGCATTGATCTACATGATTGTGATACAATGACATGAATCAACCAAGTCACTGAGTCTGTCCACCCGTTCCTGTTAGGTGCATTATGATGTTACTGTCTCTTACAAAAAGCAGTAGTTTCTAATGAACATTCCTTACCCATATTTTCAGGGGGGAAAATAAGCTGCAGAAAGCAATGTAGAGGAATGTGAACTTGTGAAGTTACACTTGTATACTATGTAATATTTATGGCCACATCAGTGTTTTCATATTACAACAAATTACAGTTATTGTCTCCTATATTCTCTGGATTATACAGTATGTGCCTCCTTGAAGAGTACTGACATGCACAGATTTCTTACCCTGCAAAACCCAGCTGACACCGTGTCTTCTTTGAGTGGCATTTAGAAGTTGGGAAGTAGAATCTAGACAAACTATATGGATAAGAACTTCTATATTTCGTGAGTGTTATGTTTTGATACAGATTCTTGTACCGCTGTACAGATTCTTGAAGGACAAGAATCTGAATCAAAACATCACACTCATGAAATAAAGAAGTTATTATCCAAAAGGTTTGTCTGTGTTGACATTGTGTCTGTTGTGTTTAGGTTAATTAAAGACATCTAAGTTATTGCATGTCCTTGTGGAGCCGAGAAGGATATGGCTGAAACAATGATTGGTGGAAACAAGCCAGTATTAATTATCCCCGTGTCAGGGGTTTTTGACGATGTAAGACAAAAACATATTTTTTATCTATAATATCATTTAAAGTTTGTATTTTACTAACCTTGAGTGATAAAGGATATATTCATCTATTTCACACAAAAATATCAAGTGTTCCCTACAAAAATAGCGTTGATGAAATCGTATCGGCAAAACTGTTGCCGCTCGTAACATCCGGGTATTTTGTATGGGTTTTCGACGATGAGCTATACTTTTTGCTCCGCACTGCTAGGGAGTGTTGTGATCACATGGCTTCCTATTTATATATTGCCTGTCACCAGCAGATGACTGATCTAACTGAATTTTCGCTTGCTATTTTTTGTTATAAAGGCAACTGATTTTGCATCTGAAGTGGTATTAACGATCTCAGGTAAATAATATTGATGTTTGTTTGCTTTTTATATAACTTGACTTCCCGATTTCCATTGTCAATAAAACTTCTCACGACAGCGACTTGGAACCCGCCCTACCAGTGAAACTGTTTGTGCACTCCGATCACACAGGTACTCCCCTGATATAGGGCGTGCAATGCAATTGTCGAAATCACCAGAACGTCGAATGCAGCTCGTGTTGGGATATATATTGAAAAAACCCTAGTATGTTTGATATTCTACTAAAGCTTACAATCAATACAGCCTTCTCAGATGATTAGACCATAGAGAATTCAAATAGCAATAGTGAAATAAGGCAGAAGTCGCTGGGACAGTTAGTCTTGTTTACTTGAAACTTTATTCTGAAACTTTATTCTGAAGCATAACTGACAAACAATAATTTCCAGAGACAGTCATTCCTATGAGAACACAATCAGACTAGCGTTCCTATGAGAACACAATCAGACTAGCGTTCCTATGAGAACACAATCAGACTAGCGTTCCTTACTAACAACTGTCCTCTTCATTGATGTGGCTTTCATAAGAACACACAAGTATTTCCCAGATCAGAGTTATCTACCCTACATAAGATTAAGATGTTTGAAACACTTTTGCAACAAATGAAGATTACACTCTCAAGTCAATATTAAACATCACTGTGTGATCAAAGATTTTAAGATAACAATAAATTGAAACCACTGTAACAATTTGTCTGTTTGTGAAAGGTCAGTTTTAAGAAAATACATGTATGTTGATACGAGTAAAGGTATTACACTTGGAATAGCAGTTAATCTTCTATTAGTAATTCTACCATGAATTTTGACAAATTGTCAGGTATAGTGACCTATTTAAGACAATTCAGGGCTCCAGATAATTTTTCAACATCAGGAGTACATACTCCTAATTTTTTCAATACAGGAGTACTGGAAAACCTTCAGTGTACATTTAGAGTACTGAATGGAATTTAATGGAGTATCAGTAATCTTGTGTTTTGTTTCATGTATGCACCACAACATTGCTAGTCTTGTGTAAACAGGTCAATAAACAATAAAACAATACTTTTTTCAGATAAATATGTCTGTAAATGATTTTAAGACAGTACACCATTGCTGTGGTGTGTATCTGCTACGTTTTCTAAATTATTTCCTACCGTATCGTGCATATTTTCTATTCATACATACACCGATACGGCCCTTATCTTGAGCCCTGCAACTGTTGTACCTCTGCACTCAAATACACTGAAGCACTACCAAGGAGCAGTTCATTTGCACTCCCTTTTATATAGCCTCACAGGTTTCAGAAGATTGATGCAGAATTGAAAAGCTTACTATATCAGTATCTTTTTGCCAGCATTTGCCAGCCATTGAATCGGATCTTGAGAGATTTGGTGGCCGAGTCGCAACCGATGTGTATGACCTTCACCTGCAATGTGACAAGGAGCTTCCACAGTTAGAGCAGTTTGATGCCTGGGGTAGACGAGTTGACCGCCTCATCACATCCTCAGCATGGAAGGCCATGCATGACATTTCAGCCGAGGAAGGCCTCGTTGCCATAGCGTATGAGAGGGAGTATGGAGAATGGAGGTATATAAGAAAGCAGGATAACAGTATTGGACTGTGTTACCCACAGTCTCTTGGTATTTTAGAATAAGTCAAAAGATTCAGCTGTAACATGCAAAATGTAAGATCTTGGCAATTACAGATGTATAGTAATCCCAGTTGTATGATTTCTGATGTTTATGATTACAATTGCGATATATTGTGATATGTGTTAGCGTATTGCAATATATTGTGAAAGTGTAACACATGGGTTAAGGTAATGGAATTACTGTTTCCTTTCTTTTGAAACAATGCCACTGGCCACAGTCAGGACTCAGTTGTAATTTACAAGAGATCAATGGAAATGTTTTTAAATTGAAGACTTCGCTCTAAAGTTTTGAACTCAATAAAAGCATCTGCAGCGGTGTCTGCCATTTTGGTTTGTTTATCAATACAACGAGTGCCAGTACCAATCTATTTTTCTCATTTACGAGGTTAAAAGGTCACGCAAATGCAATTATATGAACAATAAACACTCTCAAAACTATTGATGTCTAATAATATAAAGGAAATACAAATGTTTTTAGTAGTTTTGACTACATCACGAAAATTACCGAACGTATCGGGTGAACCGGTTCGCGAAAAGTGTACCACAATATATCGTATTGTGAAGTTCGAATTGCAATGTACCAGTTAATCGGTATTATCGCCCACCCCTATTTATGATGTTGGTGGTTGGCTTGGTTGCTTCCTTGACAAGTCATTTATAATTATCTCATTAATATACACTTGTAGAGAGAAGCTGAAAATAGACATTAAAAGTGTGGATGAAATGTATTGTCACTGTATGTGTGTATAGTACTGAGATGGTTCCCAGGTGTGGGTGGTAGCGTTCACTACAACATTGTGTTTCAGCCGCTTGTACCAGATGGCCAAGATGTACTTGTACTGCCCCTCAGCCGGGCTATACAGCTGCCCCCTGGCTATGACGGATGGAGCTGCCAAGATCATCGAGGTACACATTAACGGACTAGCAATTGTATTGCAACGTAGAAGTCATGGATTTCACAATCATTTTTGATACCTGCTGTCATTTTGATTTGGTATGTTCAAAATGGTTTTTAATTATCCAAAGTTCAAAATGTTAACCAATATTGTTGTCAGTGAGTAATTCTAATCAATCTATTGTACTGAACCATACATAGCTTTAAGCATCTGGGTAATACCTGTCATCATGCATAGTCCTGTGCGTATCCAGCAAAGGGTTGCCTCAGAACTGTTGGAGATGTTCCCGATATAGGGGGTGATAATCTCAATAAGTGTGGTTCACTTTGTTAGGACTATCTGGTTTTTATTTGCCAATTCTGTGCAATAAGTGAAACCACATCTTAATAAGCATTTCAGATAATTGATCTTTGAATTTGTGGAATTCTAGTTACGGGTTACCATACATTTTTTATAAGTCACTTGGATAGTGTGACTCTTGGGGCTGTGATATTGAAAGTAGTAAACCCTTATCAGCTGACTTGATCAGTCTCAGTGTGACTTAACAGTTCTCTGATTGGTGTAAACATCATATAGACACACAGGCTACAGACATTTGTGATAATGTTGTACATGTGGCTTTGATCTTCAGTGTTCAGTGTCACAAGGCAGAAAGTTATGTATCACCTGCTGTGACCATAATAATCTCAACCTCTGTCACAATGTCACTAAACCAGTCAAGTCAAGGTAAGAAGATACCACTTTCACTTTTCTTTCTTTCAGACCGTGAAGGATCAGCATCCCTGGTTGATGGAACGAGCATATGGACGACTGACCACCCGAAGTCCAAGTGAATTCTGGACATCAGGACAGTGGATGACAGAGAGAAAAGGAGGCTCTGATGTTGGTAGGTGTCTCATTCGTTTATTTACATATGGCACTGATGTTGGTAGGTGTCTCATTCATTTAATTACATATAGCACTTGATGTTGGTAGGTGTCTCATTCGTTAAATTACATAGAGCAGTGATGTTGGTAGGTGTCTCATTCATTTAATTACATATAGCAGTGATGTTGGTAGGTGTCTCATTAGCAGTTGCTGGTAAATTACATATAGCAGTGATGTTGGTAGGTGTCTCATTCGTTTAATTACATATAGCAGTGATGTTGGTAGGTGTCTCATTCGTTTAATTACATATAGCAGTGATGTTGGTAGGTGTCTCATTCATTTAATTACATATAGCAGTGATGTTGGTAGGTGTCTCATTCTGTTTAATTACATAGAGCAGTGATGTTGGTAGGTGTCTCATTCATTTAATTACATATAGCAGTGATGTTGGTAGGTGTCTCATTCGTTTAATTACATATAGCAGTGATGTTGGTAGGTGTCTCATTTATTTAATTACATAGAGCAGTGATGTTGGTAGGTGTCTCATTTGTTTAATTACATATAGCAGTGATGTTGGTAGGTGTCTCATTCGTTTAATTACATATGGCATTGATGTTGGTAGGTGTCTCATTCATTTAATTACATAGAGCAGTGATGTTGGTAGGTGTCTCATTCATTTAATTACATATAGCAGTGATGTTGGTAGGTGTCTCATTCGTTTAATTACATAGATTCATTTAATTACATAGAGCAGTGATGTTGGTAGGTGTCTCATTCATTTAATTACATATAGCATTGATGTTGGTAGGTGTCTCATTCGTTTAATTACATAGAGCAGTGATGTTGGTAGGTGTCTCATTCGTTTAATTACATAGAGCAGTGATGTTGGTAGGTGTCTCATTCGTTTAATTACATAGAGCAGTGATGTTGGTAGGTGTCTCATACATATAGCAGTGATGTTGGTAGGTGTCTCATTCGTTTAATTACATATAGCAGTGATGTTGGTAGGTGTCTCATTTGTTTAATTACATAGAGCAGTGATGTTGGTAGGTGTCTAATTCATTTAATTACATATAGCAGTGATGTTGGTAGGTGTCTCATTCGTTTAATTACATATGGCATTGATGTTGGTAGGTTGGTATTAATAGTTAATTGTTACTCTTCAGCTCGTGGCACTGAGACATTAGCCGTGCCAAACGATGATGGTAGCTATTCACTCCATGGTTATAAGTGGTTCTCCTCGGCAACAGATGCTGATATCACCTTCACCTTGGCTCGGTGTGTAGATCAGAGCGGCAAGACAGTTCAAGTAAGTGAACATTTTCAGTTCTCTATTTATGTTGATGTTGAAAATACACCTTTGACTTCTAAACTGCAGTATCAGGTTAAGTGATTGTTGTTTTACGCCTCAGTTTAATATGGATCATGGTGATCTGCATGTTTGTTCCACTCCTGGTAAGGACGTTTCGAATATTACCTCAACATTATCTCTACACCAGATCCGCACTGTATCGGTCCCTGCTGTATTCCATGGCCAAATCTGTGGTCAATTCTCAAAAGTTCTGTCACTAATTTTGAATTTTTCTGCAAACTTCTGATTATGTGGACTCCTTGTTCCTAACCTTTGTGACTAATGGCAGAACATTTTCCTTTTAACCTGACCCATGGCTAAATGGCTCATTAAGTGATGATCGCAGTTGTAAACATCATAAGCAATACTGCAGACGTCATCTTACTGCTCCATTCAGCTCACTCCTCCATTCAACTACCAATGTTTAGGAAGGATGCCTACCCCTTCCATTCTATGGTCTTTGCTGACACCTTTTACCAGGCACAGACTTCAATCTGTGTAGCATAGCAGTGTATTGCAACTTAAGTAAACCTTGGCAGTTTTTCATGTCTAAAACCAGCAAGTTGAATTTCTTTAGTGTATATAACCTATTTACAGAAAAATGCAAAATTATGGTTGACTTCTGCATATGTTTTTTTTTCTGAAAGATAAGTACATTTCTGTGCCAAATGGGCATTTCATAAATATACTCCCTGTTGTGGAATGGTAGTTGCTGTTACTTGTGACATGTAGAGCATGTACAGTTGAACACCGTTGTGTCGAACTCTGATAACTCGATATCTCGGTTGTCTCGATATAATTTCTCGGCCCGGCAAAATCCTTCATTATTTATCATTATTTGAACCCTTTTAACTTGATACGGATGTCTCGATATTTCGTCCCGATATCTCGGTATGATTTCATGGTCCCTACGAGCAAAATTACCCTTTACACACACTTTCGATATTTGCAAATAAAGTCGATATACACTTTTGTTTTCTTTCATTTCTTTCATGTTGGTATGTGATGATATGCCCAACTCGGATGTGTCGATATTCGGATAAGTCGATATTTTTTCCTGGTCCCGTAAATATGGAGACAACGGTGTTCGACTGTATATGTTAAAGGGTACACAAGGCTTGTCTCTCTTCTATCTGGAGCTGAGAGATGACAAGGGGGTGCTCAATAACATTCAGCCTCAGAGACAATGGTGTTCGACTGTATATGTTAAAGGGTACACAAGGCTTGTCTCTCTTCTATCTGGAGCTCAGAGATGACAAGGGGGTGCTCAATAACATTCAGCCTCAGAGACAACGGTGTTCGACTGTATATGTTAAAGGGTACACAAGGCTTGTCTCTCTTCTATCTGGAGCTCAGAGATGACAAGGGGGTGCTCAATAGCATTCAGCCTCAGAGACTGAAGAACAAGCTGGGGACAAGACAGGTGCCAACTGCTGAACTTCTGCTTGATGGTACACGTGCTGCAAAGGTAGGTATTCTGACTAGAAAATCAGGTTCATTCAAATCTAAGTGAGGTCCATTCACTGCCAAAATAGGCACATTCACTGCCAATATAGGCACATTCTCTACCTTTTTATAGAGGTGTGCTAAAAAATGTAACCAACTGATTTATTTTTTGTTTTGCATGATTTCATTGGTATTATCAACCCTAGACATCTATGCAAACATTTTTGCATTGCCAGACACTATATTACTCATATTTTTTTAGAATAATTAAACCAATGTTTTGTTTTGTGTGTGCAGGTTTCTGAGGAAGGACGTGGTGTGGCCTCCATCGCAGGCATGCTGACGCTGACTAGAATCCACAATGCCATGTCTGCGGCAGGTTACATGAGACGGTCAGTGGCTCCCATAGTTATGAGGATGCTAGACCTCCTGCTGCAAGTCCTTGTATAACATTGTCACTTGCTGTAGACTTGTTGCTTATACCAACAGCACTGACTTCTATACTAAATGAACATTAATGACATGCAAGCATTCTAAAATCTGCAAATTGAATTTCTGTACGTTTCCAATCTGTGGCAGCAAGAGATCTTTACAAATCAAAATGCATTAAAATTCATGGGTTGTCATCTGTTTGCATGAGTACGTGCAGTTGTCAGTTGTTCAATGGCAGCCTGTCCGACTGCATCAGCAAGGTTAACAGTGGAAGCTGCAGATGAACGTTGACTGTTATGCTGCCGACGTTGATGTTGGGTGTATAACACCAGTACCAGGTTCACACTGCAAACTACTCTGGTAGCAACATCTGCTTCAGGCTTTAACTGTAATCCTTTGTAATTGTCAATCACTAAATCTACCAGATGAATCACATTGCTTTCCTTCGTGATGAAGGTATTAACTGTGAAGAACTGGTGAATGTAAGCAGCAGGTAATGGGCGAACTGAAGCATCTGAAACCTAATCCAGAGACATCTTGGCTATACAGAGTAACTAGGTAAATCTATTTTGTCAGTAACTGGGGAATGTTTATGATTAATACTGAGTAATCCCAAGAGCAGACTGAATGTATCTTTTTTGTAGTCAGTAATTGTTGGTATAAGTTGTGGACACAGTGCTTGAACACACAAAAAGAGAGTTACTAGTGGGAAGCAGCCAGAATGAGTGCAGGCCTGATTGTTGCATTTATGCAGCAATACAAACAGTGGGAACCTGTTTAAACCTCTGTGACAGATCTTTTCACTTGGCTGACAATTTAGGCTACCATTTTGAATCATCTGTTTTGTGCTGTTTCTGTATTTCAAACTTGATTTTAGAAAAGCAGTTTCTTTGTCCATTTTACTTGCCTTTTCATAGTTACACTGCATGTTACAGTATTGTCAACCTCGCCCGGGACTACAGCACACGCAGAAATGCCTTTGGAAACCACATCAAAAACTACCCTTTGCATGTCCAGACTCTGGCAAGGCTAGAGGTGACTATTTGAACACACTGTTGTAATCTGGTTTACGTGGGTGTCATACAGGTGCAGTAAAAACATGCTGTTGTAGTCTGGCTTATGTGAATGTCATACAGGTGCAGTATAAACATGGTGTTATAGCCTGGTTTACTTGGGTGTCATACAGGTGCAGTAAAAACATGCTGTTGTAGTCTGGCTTATGTGAATGTCATACAGGTGCAGTATAAACATGGTGTTATAGCCTGGTTTACTTGGGTGTCCTACAGGTGCAGTGAGAACACAATTTTTATCGCCCCAGGTGGAAGCCCGTGCAGCCACTTTACTGACATTGGAGGTATCTCGACTCCTAGGGTGGGATGATGTTGGCATCGCCACAGATGCTGAAACTCAGTTGCTGAGACTTCTGACTCCCTTAGCTAAACTGTACACAGGAAAACAGGTGAGTGAACTTCATCCACTGACACAGTTGATGAAACCTTTTGCCTATGCTTTACACGGTTAAACTAATTTAATTTGTGTTATTTCTCTAATGTATTTAAACCTAATCTGTGATTCTATTGATAAACAAAATTTACAGCAAGCTGTTATGGTGATAGCGTCAGTATGGACAGGTAAAGTAATGTAGCAGATTATATATTCTATTTTTAAGCTTTCAAAAATAATATAAATATATATTGATTTTACACTGTTCTGTCACAGTTGGCAAATTTTACTATTATTTCATGACCAATTTATCAGCTTACAGACAGGAAAAACTTGAAAGGGGCTAAATGTTAATGTAGAATACAGGTTGTTGGTCTCAGTTTTCAATGACAGGTTAGATCAGAAAAACACATGCCTTGATGAATGTGAAATTTTGAATTGTAAAGGTCCATATGTTTAGGCTGCCTATACATATTTCGGTCCTATCAAATGTTATGCATTCATCATGTGAAATGTGCCATGGAATTACATTGATCTATTTCATTATTTGATCATTGTCATTGCAGAGAATGAAAAAAATATTAGTACCTGTAATACTTCACCAAAATTGCAAGTATTACATACATTCATGAATGTTTGGTCGTGTGATGAATGGTGGCAATAGTGACATGAAGTTTTCCACGTGTAAAGATTGTGTGACTGGTCCTGTTGCCTGATACTGTATGTACCTGGTACATGGCACTGTTGCTCATGTTACATATTAAACATGCTGCTGTAGTCACAGTCCACCCGAGCAACATATCACATGACTCTTTGGTTTAAAACAGCAACAATACCTCAAAGCAGCCCGAAGTTCTGATGGGTGATGAGTGTAATGTCTGTTGGGGAATGTGTTGCAGGCAATGTCTGTCGCATCTGAGGGGCTGGAGAGTTTCGGAGGTCAAGGTTACATTGAGGACACAGGTCTGCCAGGGATTTTGCGAGATGCTCAGGTATATATGTTTCCAGCATTTGCTTGGTAAGGATTCCAATATGCTTTGGCTAAGATACTGTTAAAGCGTATAAAAACCATTCCTACTCACTTTCACAACATAACAAAGTGCCATTCTATCTCATATGTCCACTGGCGCTCGGCATTAATGGGTACAACAAGGACTGGTCAGCTCGGAATCAGTATAATGTGTCTGAGTGGTGTATTCATGCTTCACTGCGGCATGGTATCTCAATGGGCTAGCACTATAAAACCAGCTTAAGTCTGGGCTAGTACAAGCAGCCGCACATACACATACACATGCATGCACGTCGTCATATGAGCAAAATATTCTCAAGCACGATGTTAAACCCAATTTCACCTCACCTCACCTCACCTCACCTCATATGTCCACACATAATTTCTATTTTAGTAGAGTATTTCTACTTTACTCAAGAACACAATATTACTTTCTGTAGGTACTGTCTATTTGGGAGGGCACAACCAATATCCTGTCTCTTGACGTGCTGCGAGCTATCACCAAGTCTGGAGGCTCTGCTCTAAAAGTGTACCATGAGAACATCCAGACAAGACTAGCAACGGCCAGAGTTAATGAGGCTCTCAAGTCTGCTGTGGAGAGAGTGAACGAAGCCTCAGGCAACACCATCAGTTTTGCTGGAAAACACTCTGACCTACTGGAGTTAGCGGCAAGAGATTTTGCCTACAGTCTGTCCAGGACATTCATGGGTAAGCTGTTAGGTGGGGATCAGTTGATGCAGGTCAGAGTGCACCTTCCCGTTAGCTTCAGAGACATTTTGATTTCATGTTATATATGAAGACACAGGTTACAGCTTTTGAGACATTTAGGTGAAGGTGGTTCTCTCTTTGCATGAATTACTAAGTTTTGATATAAAGTGAATGCTAGGAATGTATTGTGCTGCCATGATGAATGATACGTGACTGTCCTGTGTATCACCAGGTGCTCTGCTGGTGGAGCATGCTGCAGCCGAGGGGGCCACAGATATGGATGTATATGCTGCACAGAGGTAATAAGTCAACTTGTTCATACATACACTCAGATACATGGTTTTATGAATGAACAAGTCTTATCATGAAAAACAGTTCTGTGAAAACAAGTCTCTTGTACACCATAGCAGCAACTTGTGTATTTTGGTTGTATTCACGCTGTAAATAATCTCCATATTTTCAACAGAAAGTCTTTTCACATTCCCTTATCCATAATCAGTTGTGCAAGTAATAGTATCTTGCTGCCTAAGCCTCTCATACATAAAGGGCACAAAGCCTCATTGCTTATCTGTTGACATAACATTTGTCAGTTGTTGTGCCATAAGTGCATCTTCAGGGTAATGCACCTAGTATCTTTCTGGCAGTGATGTTCTGGAGGTAGGAAACTCCAGGAATGACCAAAGAGCAGTTAGCATTGTGACAATAAGAATCTTATCTTGATACCATCACATCAGTATTCCCACATACCTCTACAGTGTAACTAGGAAGGCTGAGACAGCAATATCGTCGCAGATTTGTGATGCTGCAGCTTGTCACTCAGAGCTGATATAAGAACCAAGGAATCCTGTATCTAGAGAAATGGTGCTTCAGTTTCTGGAGGAAGGTATCTCTGTGCTTCAAATCATCATTCAGGCTGATCTGGTCACAAGAAATGGAATTACAGGGAACTGGATCCACAGACACATGGTTCCATAAAGTTCTATCATTTTTAATGATTGGATCTTTGACCAACAAATATTCTGTATTTCCCCTGGTGCATCTCTGTGTTACAATATTTCTTATGGACAATGGCAGCTGACCTATATGTATGTTCCTACAGGTGGTGTGAAGCAGACCTGAGCCCTGTGACGACTGCCCTGAAGGCAGGAGCTTACACTGGCAGGGCTGTGGATGCCAACTTCCGCCTGGTGTTTGATGGCTACCCTCACCCCAGTCGCTTGTGAAGACAACCTTCCCCAGGCTGAGGTACCGTGATAACCTGGACATACTGGGCATGGCCCAGCACGGTGAACATCTCTCAGGAACACATATAGCACAGGATTTGTATTCTGTAGGATCATATGTTGATCACTGACATGACTTAATGGTTTGCACTTACTACTTTTATAGAGAACAGCCTCTCTTGCCTCAGGACACTTGGTTTTCTACATTAAAAACGCTGGATATGCCTCATGTTGTGTATTGAATCAGTGGTGTGACACAGAACAGACTTGATGTTTGATGGTGAAGTAAGTTTACTGACATTGTGTGTGATGTCTGACAGCACCACAATACAGCTGCACAACACTACAGCTACCAGCTTCACTGTACCACACACGGGTACACTGACAACACGATAGTACATCAGGATATACAAATACAAAAATAAGAAAAATATTTGTCTGCATATTGTATCTTCAGTGGTACCTCCTAATGTGCATAAACATGGTAGACATGGACAAGGAGCCAGCTGTCTTGTGCCACACTGAATACACTGTATGACTGAGCTAGAGAACCTTTCTGTAAAACACATGGTAAGTTTAATAAAGGTTGTTTCTGAAGAATGGGATTATGGCTTGATGCATGGTTGGGTGTAGAGCTGGTCAGTAGCCAGTGGTCAGTAATAAGATACCTGGTCAATGCACATTAGTGGCACGCACCAACAGGTCACCTGTCATGTACAAAAATGTCAAATATAGGAGAATATTCATAAAAATAGTCTTTGTGCAGGAAGTATAAACTGTACAAAAAATATTGCAATGTAAGTTTGTACATAGTAAGTTGTGTGAGGTACAGGCAACACAGTGAAGTGGTGGGAAGGGTGGAGGGTGTACAGCCTGGTGTTGCCAGGCACACCCACAAGGAAATACACGTCTTTGTAAGGGAATGTCACACTGCAGCAAATGTTGCCTTCAGGACTTGGGCTAGACAAACATGTCTCTAACCATGTCAATATAGAAGCAGCACACACAAATGAAAGCAATTTCTTCATCTTTCATTTCAGCCTGATGGTTGATGATGATACAAAGAGTGGGGACAGGTACATAGCTCTGTGTGCTTCAGCCAAGGAAGAAGCTGAGGAATGTTGACGAATGTCAAAAGTTACCATATTTACATTTCGAGCATTGAATTGCCAATATGACAAATGTCTGATTCCAAACATGACAGGATTTACCAACAAAACTTAGGTATGTTTCTTTCCAATCCCAAACTCTTGGTGGTTGGTGAAATCAGGCGTTACATTGCTTCCATCATTAAAACAGAGAAATGTCTACACATGAGGACGCTAGTGCACTAGTACCAAAAGGTGTACAAGTAGACGACTGTATGGGCTTCTGAAAGAAATTAAAGATTTCAGAGCCATTTGAGTAGAATCTTGGCAACATGGTTCTAATACCAAGAATATGGGTTCAGAAAAATGGCGATTATGACTTACTCTTGCTAATCATGTGTGTCAAAAAATTAAAGTGTAAAGCTGCCAGCAAAACGTTGCGATGATTATTGATTTCTCATAAGCAGCCATACTGCCCAGATCTTATGTAGTTTTCATGATATGTCAGTCCAGAGAAAAATATCTTTTGAAAATAGTGTTTGATGTTTTGTCTGTTATCTCAATTCAGAAGAAAATCATATCAAACACTATTTTCAATAGATATTTTTCTCTGGACTGACATATCATGAAAACTACATAAGATCTGGGCAGTATGGCTGCTTCTGAGAAATCAATAATCATCGCAATGTTTTGCTGGCAGCTTTACACTTTAATTTTTGACATGGAAGGACATAGAGTGAATATGTGTTACGCCTATGTCTCAAAACATCAAAAACAGTTAAATTTTGAAATGCTGCAGCAGATGAGTTAAGGCAGCCTTTTTTTCAAAGCCTAATTTGATGCTGAAAGGAATTAGGAAAAATACCACCATTTTTTTCTTTCAGCAATGTATTTTAATGGTTCTTTACACCCTTGATATGTTTTTCTTATATGAGACCATAGACGAAAGGTGCTAACTGTCAAACTGCCAGTGGCCTGCTTCACCTTGATAGTTAACGCTCTGTCAAGGACATATTGCCAGACAAGAATCACTCAGTCTGCATTGCCTGCTTGATGGGGCAAGATACCAGAAAGTCAATGACAGTGCATCTGACTTGCTCGATGATCTAGAACAATACAATGGCTGGCACAGATGTATGGATGAGTGGGAATGGATCCTGCTACATTCTACCTTACACAATGAACTAGATAAGAAACTTGTCTTCGATTAGAAACATTTCATGAGGTAAGAAAATTCTACATATAGGAATGACAACTGTAATGAAAATAACATCCATAATCACATCCCCACAATTTCCTGAATGCAAACATCGGTGGTGTTTCATGAGTGACCTCGAACTGATGTTGACATTTGACACTCTAATAACATATGACAGGTATTGAGTCAATTACTTCTAATTGATTCTACATGGAAACTGATCATATTTTTCTCACAAAATTAACTAAACTTTTCAACCATGTTTGACCTCAGTTGCCATGACCTTACACAAACATACACCAAAAGTCATGTGTCAGGCTCATTCAATAAAATGTCAGTAAAATTGGAAGTACCAGTATATGAATTTATGAAGTCTTGAACACTGTTGTAATTGCATGGTTGAACAATCAGTAGTGCTGGTAGTGAAGCTCAGATTTGAGCAAACACATTAAGCATGCAGATCCCTGACAGGAAGTAGCTGAAATACCTGGTAATGAGGCCTGATATAGAAATGCATATACATGTAAACAGAGCTGCTACCTCTGTCCGAGGATGCACCTTGCAGTTCGGGGGGACTATAGTCTGCTAGTATTGCAGAAAGTTCTCTACATGTGTCATACAGAAGGCATTAGTCTCAGGCCGGTGACAGTAAGATCGGAATGAGGCACTGTAAGGAATCGTTGTAGGGGCATATACAAAACATTGTGCAACAAGATCAGAGCCAGGCCTTCAAGAATGTCCTCCTCCACTACACACTAGCATACTCTGCCTTCCTAGAGCCTCTAGGCGGTCAGCTTTGAGGTCATACCTACTTGTGTATGTGGACATAACGGTTATGGACAAAGCAAGGGATATCTACAAGTTTTCAAATATACAGGTGTGCCCGCCACATACTGTACCCTTTCAGAGTGATCAAATGACTTAGCTTTATCTACCAATGAGTTGTAGACACCGACTGTATTGGAAGGACACAGGGAGAGGGTTGTGCATAGCTTCAAGCCTGTATCTGGACTCACACTACTGTATTCCAGGCTTCATCTACAATATTCACCATCCCTAACAGTGTACAGTAGTAGAAATGAAAGCATCACATGGCATATTGATGAATAATGAACACAACCTCAGCTTGTTTCTGTAATGACAACAAATATACTCCTTTGAGCAGAGAGTGAATGTGAGGCAGCTTACTGGTCACATGATCCTGCCTGACCATATTCTGCTGTCTTAAATTCCACAAGTAATCTGTAACCTTCAGGTACCCAGGACATATGTACATGGAGTGTAAAATGGAATGAAACAATGTTACATGACAAATGTTTGACTTTCAATGGAAGTCAGTGCAGGGAGCTCCAAGTACTGGACATCAGGTAGACGACATCTTCTGTGAAACATCTGCCACACTGTTTGGGGCAATGGCTGTTCATGCATATATCTGTTTTAAGTAACACAACACACAATTGTGATGTTTTTGTTTGATGTTCATGGCCGACCACATTCCAGCTACACCAGTCCAGTGATTGACATGAGCACCAGTCCATGGCACCAGTCCATGGCACCAGTCCAGTGATTGACCTGAGCACCAGTCCATGGCACAATGACAAGCAATCAGCCAAATCACCACACCTGAATCAGCTGTGTTCAGTTTCCTTTCTCACCAGGCACAGTTTGCTGGGGACCACACTGTAACAACGAATCGTCACTGAATGAAGTTGTACTTGGAGGTGTGCGAATTCTTTGCAGCCCTTGAACATGCATGTGCATTATAATGTTCAGCTGCCACCATCCTTTGTTGCAACGCTGCCACAGCAACATCCTAGAAGTGCTTGTAACAACAGTAAAGACCACACAGAAAGATTAACAAAGGGGCAAATTCCACGTACAATAAATATAAGTACAATTGTATCCTGTTGCCATGGACTACAATGCAAGACAGACATACTGGGAATGTCAAAAGATCCCAGTATTTGATTAATGGATGAGGGATATTATAACACACGTCCAGTAATGACACTGATAGACATTTCAGCTTCAGACTACTGAAAAATAAACGAAATATACTGATGTTCGAAAATGGTAACTGCCAAAAGGCACCACTTGGCAAACATGTTTCATGGAATGATTTTGAATGTACATGCAGCTATTGAAACAAAGCATGACAAATGGACTATCCAATGAAGGAAGCCAGTTTGTACATATAACTACCATGTTGTGGCGGTTGAAGATCACCTTTTAGCCATCTAAATAAGCAAATTAATCTACTAATCATTTTGTCCATGACACAAAATCAAAGTTCTGTCTGGCATCACAGGGTCTTTGGTAGGATACAGGCGACAATAAGAAGATAAACCAAGCACATCAACAAGGAAGGGCATCATACATCATCAAGGAACCAATTGCTATATGTGGGCTCTGCAACAGTTTGTCTTTCAGAGATTGCAAACATTGAATTTGATTTATTACTTGTGTTTGAGAAAGAGCAGCACCACACTGAATCCTGCTGCACATTGTTTTGCTACAGCAGTTGTCTTGTGTCTGTGTTGTATAACTGGAACTGCTGTGACTTGGGTGACTCGCAGACAAAATGTTCAGTCAGCAAATCTGGTAGATACCGATATTCAGCGTTTAGCCAGAGCAGTCTTTTAGTCATGGCACAGGAAGCACGCTGGGATTTGTTGAGATGACGGAAGACATCAGGAGGCTTCTGCCAGGGGCACATCCACATTGGCCTCAGTCGACACTTTCCTGCAACAGGCAGCATAATGGAGATCAGACTGTTAACATCACACACAAGCATACTGGAGATCACACTGTCAACATCACACACAAGCATACTGGAGATCACACTGCTAACATCACACACAAGCATCCTGGAGATCACACTGTTAACATCACACAAGCATACTGGAGATCACACTGTCAACATCACACACAAGCATACTGGAGATCACACTGCTAACATCACACACAAGCATACTGGAGATCACACTGTTAACATCACACACAAGCATACTGGAGATCACACTGTTAACATCACACACAAGCATCCTGGAGATCACACTGTTAACATCACACACAAGCATACTGGAGATCACACTGTTAACATCACACACAAGCATACTGGAGATCACACTGCTAACATCACACACAAGCATACTGGAGATCACACTGTTAACATCACACAAGCATACTGGAGATCACACTGTTAACATCACACACACGCATACTGGAGATCACACACAAGCATACTGGAGATCACACTTTTAACATCACACACAAGCATACTGGAGATCACACTGTTAACATCACACACAAGCATACTGGAGATCAGACTGTCAACATCACACACAAGCATACTGGAGATCAGACTGCTAACATCACACATAAGCATACTGGAGATCAGACTGCTAACATCACACACAAGCATACTGGAGATCAGACTGCTAACATCACACAAAAGCATACTGGAGATCACACTGTTAACATCACACACAAGCATACTGGACATCAGACTGTCAACATCACACACAAGCATACTGGAGATCAGACTGCTAACATCACACACAAGCATACTGGACATCAGACTGTCAACATCACACACAAGCATACTGGAGATCAGACTGTCAACATCACACACAAGCATACTGGAGATCAGACTGCTAACATCACACACAAGCATACTGGAGATCACACTGTTAACATCACACACAAGCATACTGGAGATCACACTATTAACATCACACACAAGCATACTGGAGATCAGACTGCTAACATCACACACAAGCATACTGGAGATCAGACTGTTTACATCACACATAAGCATACTGGAGATCACACTGTTAACATCACACACAAGCATACTGGAGATCACACTGTTAACATCACACACAAGCATACTGGAGATCACACTGTTAACATCACACACAAGCATACTGGAGATCAGACTGTCAACATCACACACAAGCATACTGGAGATCAGACTGCTAACATCACACATAAGCATACTGGAGATCAGACTGCTAACATCACACACAAGCATACTGGAGATCACACTGTTAACATCACACACAAGCATACTGGAGATCACACTGTTAACATCACACACAAGCATACTGGACATCAGACTGTCAACATCACACACAAGCATACTGGAGATCAGACTGCTAACATCACACACAAGCATACTGGAGATCAGACTGTCAACATCACACACAAGCATACTGGAGATCACACTGTCAACATCACACACAAGCATACTGGACATCAGACTGCTAACATCACACACAAAGCATACTGGACATCAGACTGCTAACATCACACACAAGCATACTGCAGATCACACTGCTACTGTTAACATCACACACAAGCATACTGGAGATCACACTGCTAACATCACACACAAGCATACTGGAGATCAGACTGCTAACATCACACACAAGCATACTGGAGATCAGACTGTTAACATCACACACAAGCATACTGGAGATCACACTGTCAACATCACACACAAGCATACTGGACATCAGACTGCTAACATCACACACAAGCAAACTGGAGATCAGACTGTTAACATCACACACAAGCATACTGGAGATTAGAACATCATGGTATAATATGTCGCCACACACTGATGCCCAAAACAAACTACACTGTGTCTTACCGTTTGATATGTGCAAAGGTTTCAGGGGCAGAGTTTGAGCGTCCAGTTTTGTGGAGATCTTTCTTCAGTCGGTTCTCTTTCTCGCGCAAGAAGGGGTTACGGAATGACTTCTGCTTGAGGATGCTCTTTACCATGATCTGAAGAAAAACGTTAAGGTTGCATGAGGCTTACCGTGTCCACAACACATGGCTACCAGTAACTGTTCATGGACACACAGAAACAACACAGCCACAGGTGTCTCCATTCCCTCCAAACTATTCTGGAATATTATGTAGTGGTTGATTAAAAAGGCTATACTATGTAAATGAGGATATGGAAAAAAGTACCAGATAATGGAATAAATAAACTGAAACCTTCACAGTGTAGATACCCACAGACTAAGGATTTAAATGTTCATCCAAACAGAAAGGTCAAATGTGTAGGTACACAGCAATATCCCAGTACACAACACAATGGAACAATGTTGTTGACCATATCACATACATACATGCAGGATGGTGCTCATAATGGAACAATGTTGTTGACCATATCACATACATACATGCAGGATGGTGTTCATAATGGAACAATGTTGTTGACCATATCACATACATACATGCAGGATGGTGTTCACAATGGAACAATGTTGTTGACCATATCACATACATACATGCAGGATGGTGTTCATAATGGAACAATGTTGTTGACCATATCACATACATACATGCAGGATGGTGTTCACAATGGAACAATGTTGTTGACCATATCACATACATACATGCAGGATGGTGTTCATAATGGAACAATGTTGTTGACCATATCACATACATACATGCAGGATGGTGTTCACAATGGAACAATGTTGTTGACCATATCACATACATACATGCAGGATGGTGTTTCATAATGGAACAATGTTGTTGACCATATATCACATACATACATGCAGGATGGTGTTCATAATGGAACAATGTTGTTGACCATATCACATACATACATGCAGTATGGTGTGTTCACAATGGAACAATGTTGTTGACCATATCACATACATACATGCAGGATGGTGTTCATAATGGAACAATGTTGTTGACCATATCACATACATACATGCAGGATGGTGTTCATGATGGAACAATGTTGTTGACCATATCACATACATACATGCAGGATGGTGTTCACCATGGAACAATGTTCTTGACCATATCACATACATACATGCAGGATGGTGTTCACAATGGAACAATGTTGTTGACCATATCACATACATACATGCAGGATGGTGTTCATAATGGAACAATGTTGTTGACCATATCACATACATACATGCAGGATGGTGTTCACAATGGAACAATGTTGTTGACCATATCACATACATACATGCAGGATGGTGTTCATAATGGAACACTGTTGTTGACCATATCACATACATACATGCAGGATGGTGTTCACAATGGAACAATGTTGTTGACCATATCACATACATACATGCAGGATGGTGTTCATAATGGAACAATGTTGTTGACCATATCACATACATACATGCAGGATGGTGTTCATAATGGAACAATGTTGTTGACCATATCACATACATACATGCAGGATGGTGTTCATAATGGAACAATGTTGTTGACCATATCACATACATACATGCAGGATGGTGTTCATAATGGAACAATGTTGTTGACCATATCACATACATACATGCAGGATGGTGTTCACAATGGAACAATGTTGTTGACCATATCACATACATACATGCAGGATGGTGTTCATAATGGAACAATGTTGTTGACCATATCACATACATACATGCAGGATGGTGTTCATAATGGAACAATGTTGTTGACCATATCACATACATACATGCAGGATGGTGTTCACAATGGAACAATGTTGTTGACCATATCACATACATACATGCAGGATGGTGTTCATAATGGAACAATGTTGTTGACCATATCACATACATACATGCAGGATGGTGTTCATAATGGAACAATGTTGTTGACCATATCACATACATACATGCAGGATGGTGTTCATAATGGAACAATGTTGTTGACCATATCACATACATACATGCAGGATGGTGTTCATAATGGAACAATGTTGTTGACCATATCACATACATACATGCAGGATGGTGTTCATAATGGAACAATGTTGTTGACCATATCACATACATACATGCAGGATGGTGTTCATAATGGAACAATGTTGTTGACCATATCACATACATACATGCAGGATGGTGTTCACAATGGAACAATGTTGTTGACCATATCACATACATACATGCAGGATGGTGTTCATAATGGAACAATGTTGTTGACCATATCACATACATACATGCAGGATGGTGTTCACAATGGAACAATGTTGTTGACCATATCACATACATACATGCAGGATGGTGTTCATAATGGAACAATGTTGTTGACCATATCACATACATACATGCAGGATGGTGTTCACAATGGAACAATGTTGTTGACCATATCACATACATACATGCAGGATGGTGTTCATAATGGAACAATGTTGTTGACCATATCACATACATACATGCAGGATGGTGTTCATAATGGAACAATGTTGTTGACCATATCACATACATACATGCAGGATGGTGTTCATAATGGAACAATGTTGTTGACCATATCACATACATACATGCAGGATGGTGTTCACAATGGAACAATGTTGTTGACCATATCACATACATACATGCAGGATGGTGTTCATAAATGGAACAATGTTGTTGACCATATCACATACATACATGCAGGATGGTGTTCATAATGGAACAATGTTGTTGACCATATCACATACATACATGCAGGATGGTGTTCACAATGGAACAATGTTGTTGACCATATCACATACATACATGCAGGATGGTGTTCATAATGGAACAATGTTGTTGACCATATCACATACATACATGCAGGGATGGTGTTCATAATGGAACAATGTTGTTGACCATATCACATACATACATGCAGGATGGTGTTCATAATGGAACAATGTTGTTGACCATATCACATACATACATGCAGGATGGTGTTCATAATGGAACAATGTTGTTGACCATATCACATACATACATGCAGGATGGTGTTCATAATGGAACAATGTTGTTGACCATATCACATACATACATGCAGGATGGTGTTCATAATGGAACAATGTTGTTGACCATATCACATACATACATGCAGGATGGTGTTCATAATGGAACAATGTTGTTGACCATATCACATACATACATACATACATGCAGGATGGTGTTCATAATGGAACAATGTTGTTGACCATATCACATACATACATGCAGGATGGTGTTCATAATGGAACAATGTTGTTGACCATATCACATACATACATGCAGGATGGTGTTCATAATGGAACAATGTTGTTGACCATATCACATACATACATGCAGGATGGTGTTCATAATGGAACAATGTTGTTGACCATATCACATACATACATGCAGGATGGTGTTCATAATGGAACAATGTTGTTGACCATATCACACATACATACATGCAGGATGGTGTTCATAATGGAACAATGTTGTTGACCATATCACATACATACATGCAGGATGGTGTTGTTGACCATATAATGGAACAATGTTGTTGACCATATCACATACATACATGCAGGATGGTGTTCATAATGGAACAATGTTGTTGACCATATCACATACATACATGCAGGATGGTGTTCATAATGGAACAATGTTGTTGACCATATCACATACATACATGCAGGATGGTGTTCATAATGGAACAATGTTGTTGACCATATCACATACATACATGCAGGATGGTGTTCATAATGGAACAATGTTGTTGACCATATCACATACATACATGCAGGATGGTGTTCATAATGGAACAATGTTGTTGACCATATCACATACATACATGCAGGATGGTGTTCATAATGGAACAATGTTGTTGACCATATCACATACATACATGCAGGATGGTGTTCATAATGGAACAATGTTGTTGACCATATCACATACATACATGCAGGATGGTGTTCATAATGGAACAATGTTGTTGACCATATCACATACATACATGCAGGATGATGTGTTCATAATGGAACAATGTTGTTGACCATATCACATATCACATACATGCATGCAGGATGATGTTGTTGACCATATCACATACATACATGCAGGATGGTTTCATAATGGAACAATGTTGTTGACCATATCACATACATACATGCAGGATGGTGTTCATAATGGAACAATGTTGTTGACCATATCACATACATACATGCAGGATGGATGGTGTTCATAATGGAACAATGTTGTTGACCATATCACATACATACATGCAGGATGGTGTTCATAATGGAACAATGTTGTTGACCATATCACATACATACATGCAGGATGGTGTTCATAATGGAACAATGTTGTTGACCATATCACATACATACATGCAGGATGGTGTTCATAATGGAACAATGTTGTTGACCATATCACATACATACATGCAGGATGGTGTTCATAATGGAACAATGTTGTTGACCATATCACATACATACATGCAGGATGGTGTTCATAATGGAACAATGTTGTTGACCATATCATCACATACATACATGCAGGATGGTGTTCATAATGGAACAATGTTGTTGACCATATCACATACATACATGCAGGATGGTGTGTTGACCATAATGGAACAATGTTGTTGACCATATCACATACATACATGCAGGATGGTGTTCACAATGGAACAATGTTGTTGACCATATCACATACATACATGCAGGATGGTGTTCATAATGGAACAATGTTGTTGACCATATCACATACATACATGCAGGATGGTGTTCATAATGGAACAATGTTGTTGACCATATCACATACATACATGCAGGATGGTGTTCATAATGGAACAATGTTGTTGACCATATCACATACATACATGCAGGATGGTGTTCATAATGGAACAATGTTGTTGACCATATCACATACATACATACATGCAGGATGGTGTTCATAATGGAACAATGTTGTGGCCATGTTCAATATGGGGCAACAATATGGTATGACTCTTCAAGTCAAGTATCACGGCGCAAGTGGTAACATAGCATATGATGGAAATGTACACGTCTGTGGTGGCCAGACAGATGGTCACACAACAGACAGTGGTCAACTCTCTGTTCTGGTTTGGCCTAATGTTGTTAAACACAGCCTGAGGTAGCCATTGAGAGACACTGTGGCTGGTCCACAGGAATATAAAGTATTCATTACAGACTACAATGTCAAGGGTTGGAAAATAATCATTTAACTTTAATCCGTAAAATATGTTTGACCCTTGGGCATGCACATGTGATAATATTTGCAGCTGTCAGTGTCAATATTTGGCCCAGAGATAACACTATAACAAAAGTAAAATAAACATAATTGCTGAAACCTAACAAAACTTACCAGTGTTTCTAGTTTGGGAACATGTTTAATGACATTCTTAATGTCTTCGTCTGTGATCTCCACCAGACTGCAGTTCTCCTCCTCTGTGGGCAGTGGGTGCTGGTCGTCCCGGCTTACCCATGGGTGCTCCTGCAGACAACAACATTCACTCACAAACAGGACTCCAAGACAGCATTCTTAAACCAGTATATATTCAGCAGGTGCTATTCATAAAATGGTTCATGACCAAATTATTTATGGGTAGAATTAATTTGTTTATTTGTTGTGTAACTCGACACTCAGCAATATTCCAGCTTTATATACAGTCTGTAAATAATCAAGTCTAAACCAGACAATCCAGTGATCAACATTATGAGCATCTATTATGCAGTTGGGATATGATGACATGTCAACCAAGTCAGTTTTTTGGAAGCATGAAATATAGACCACAAATTTTCAGAAAAACAACACCAGCATTATTTGAAAGAAATTTGTTTCTAATGTCAATTTTCAAAATAATTACTGCATAAAACACATCATACATAAATACATGGTAGTTATAGTAAAAACAGTCACAGAAAAGTAGTATGTACTTGAGAATATTGCTGCCAGGCACGTTACCTTCAGCTCATCGAGAGTGATGCGAGTATCTGGGATCTTTTCTAACATTCGCAGAAGTAGATTCTTCAAATCATTTGACACAGCAGGCCTGGAGACAGACACCATAACAGCAAAATAACAATCAGTGCATTAAAAGTAATTGTATCAATCAATGCTGACCTCGAATTTCTTCAAAGGCATTTAGAAGTTGGTGTAGCAATACAAGACAAATCTGATGGATAACAACTTCTTGATTTATTTTTCACAACGTTTCTGGGCTAGTTCTTGCCCCTTCTTCTGGTGAATAATGGTGATAGTGAACAGTACAGTATATATAGAGATGTACAGGAAGCCACATATGTAAATTGAGTATATACAAGGGAAAAAGGAGATATAATTAAGTATGTACAAACATTGTATCCTGCTCTTTCATCTCACTGCATTGTTTGTACATACTTAATTATACCTCCTTCCCCCCTTGTATATACTCAATTTACATATCTGGCTTCCTGTACATCTATATATATACTGTACTGTTCACTATCATCCTTATCCACCTGAAGAAGGGGCAAGAACTTGCATAGCATTTTCCAAAAACATGCATACCTTCATTTTGCATTCAATTATTGAAGCAGCTGTCTAAGTAGTGGAAAACTGTTTTGAGACTGTAATTGACTCTCAGAATTACAGTAAGCCATACAACATGAATACACCTGATGTCCCTCCGAACATAACTGTTATGCACTAATCAGTAAATCATTGTGAGAGTCCTTCGAGGTTGCTGCCTCGGACAAACACTGATCACAGGATGCCAGAAACAGCAGTACATTTGCTTCATGCAACTCACATTTCAGGGAATCTCACAGGATCCTTCAGAATCTTCTTGTGAAGTCCCAGGATGAAGTCATCTTCAAAAGGCACCTGTAAATGAAAGTTGACGTCGTCACAAAGCACAAGAGGTGGCAGGGAACAGAGAATCTACCTGTGCAGTCTACCCTGGTTATAGAGCCAACAAGGAAGATTTGGGTGGCATTGCAACCAGGTGGCATTGTAACCAGGCGGCATGGTAACCTGGTGGCATTGTAACCAGGCGGCATTGTAACCTGGTGGCATTGTAACTTGGTGGCATTGTAACCAGGCGGCATTGTAACCTGGTGGCATTGTAACCAGGTGGCATTGTAACCTGGTGGCATTGTAACCAGGCGGCATTGTAACCTGGTGGCATTGTAACCTGGTGGCATTGTAACCAGGCGGCATTGTAACCTGGTGGCATTGTAACCTGGTGGCATTGTAAGCAGGTGGCATGGTAACCTGGTGGCATTGTAACCAGGCGGCATTGTAACCAGGCGGCATTGTAACCAGGCGGCATTGTAACCTGGTGGCATTGTAACCAGGCGGCATTGTAACCTGGTGGCATTGTTACCAGGCGGCATTGTAACCTGGTGGCATTGTAACCAGGCATCATTGTAACCTGGTGGCAATGTAACTTGGTGGCATTGTAACCTGGTGGCATTGTAGGCATTGTAACCTGGTGGCATTGTAACTTGGTGGCATTGTAACCTGGTGGCATTGTAACCAGGCGGCATTGTAACTTGGTGGCATTGTAACCAAGCGGCATTGTAACCTGGTGGCATGGTAACCAGGCGGCATTGTAACCTGGTGGCATTGTAACCAGGCGGCATTGTAACCTGGCAGCATTGTAACCTGGTGGCATTGTAACTTGGTGGCATTGTAACCAGGCGGCATTGTAACCTGGTGGCATGGTAACCAGGTGGCATTGTAACCTGGTGGCATTGTAACCTGGTGGCATTGTAACTAGGTGGCATTGTAACCTGGTAGCATTGTAACCAGGCGGCATTGTAACCAGGCGACATTGTAACCTGGTGGCATTGTAACTTGGCGGCATTGTAACCTGGTGGCATGGTAACCAGGCGGCATTGTAACCTGGTGTCATTGTAACCAGGCGGCATTGGAACCTGGTGGCATGGTAACCAGGCGGCATTGTAACCAGGCGGCATTGTAACCAGGTGACATTGTAACCTGGTGGCATTGTAACTTGGCGGCATTGTAACCTGGTGGCATGGTAACCAGGTGGCATTGTAACCTGGTGGCATTGTAACCAGGCGGCATTGTAACCTGGTGGCATTGTAACCAGGCATCATTGTAACCTGGTGGCATTGTAACTTGGTGGCATTGTAACCTGGTGGCATTGTAGGCATTGTAACCTGGTGGCATTGTAACCTGGTGGCATTGTAACCTGGTGGCATTGTAACCTGGTGGCATGGTAACCAGGCGGCATTGTAACCTGGTGGCATTGTAACCTGGTGGCATTGTAACCAGGCGGCATTGTAACCTGGCAGCATTGTAACCTGGTGGCATTGTAACTTGGTGTCATTGTAACCAGGCGGCATTGTAACCTGGTGGCATGGTAACCAGGCGGCATTGTAACCTGGTGGCATTGTAACTAGGTGGCATTGTAACCTGGTGGCATGGTAACCAGGCGGCCTTTGTAACCTGGTGTCATTGTAACCAGGCGGCATTGTAACCTGGTGGCATTGTAACCTGGTGGCATTGTAACCAGGGAACACCATTCTAGTCAGTCAATTTAACCAAGTTATATTTGAATATATGTAATGAAAGAAAAACACATTCCTAATATTTGTGCACTGAAAAACAGAGCAAGGCACACAGCACACTGTTGTACTGTGGATAAAGAAGTTCCCCTGACGACTGGGCTTGGGGAGTATGGTTGCACACTGGGTGATTAATATGTTCTTGTCCTCCTCAAGTACAAGACACTTTCTTTTGAAGCCAAGTCTAACACTTCATGCTACGTTATAACATAGACAGCACTGAGCTTCCAAGCTTCGTACCTGTGAAGGTCCGGGTTAGAATGAACCTTCAGTAACCCATGCCTGTCGTAAGAGGCGACTAACGGGATCGGGTGGTCAGGCTCGCTGGCTCGCATGTCATCGGTTCCCAATTGCGCAGATCGATGCTCATGCTGTTGATCACTGGATTGTAAGGTCCAGACTCGATTATTTACAGACCGCCACCATATAGCTGGAATATTGTTGAGTGCGGTGTAAAACTAAACTCACTCACTCACTCACTCCAAGCTTCGTTCATGTCAGGCCTATTATTTGTAAAGATATTGACACAGAAAACAGTCCAAATGATTAATCTAACTCCCCTTAAGAGATGCTTAAACAGATCACTTAACTATGGTATTCCTGAATAATGACCTAACCACAGCAGCTGGTGTGCTGGAACTGACCCCTGACTGAAGGATGTTGCCATTCCTTGTGTATAACACACTATGGTTATAACAAACTATAATGACCTAACCACAGCAGCTGGTGTGCTGGAACTGACCCCTGACTGAAGGATGTTGCCATTCCTTGTGTATAACACACTATGGTTATAACAAACTATAATGACCTAACCACAGCAGCTGGTGTGCTGGAACTGACCCCTGACTGAAGGATGTTGCCATTCCTTGTGTATAACACACTATGGTTATAACAAACTATAATGACCTAACCACAGCAGCTGGTGTGCTGGAACTGACCCCCTGACTGAAGGATGTTGCCATTCCTTGTGTATAACACACTATGGTTATAACAAACTATAATGACCTAACCACAGCAGCTGGTGTGCTGGAACTGACCCCTGACTGAAGGATGTTGCCATTCCTTGTGTATAACACACTATGGTTATAACAAACTATAATGACCTAACCACAGCAGCTGGTGTGCTGGAACTGACCCCCTGACTGAAGGGTGTTGCCATTCCTTGTGTAGAACACACCATGGTTATAACAAACTATAATGACCTAACCACAGCAGCTGGTGTGCTGGAACTGACCCCTGACTGAAGGATGTTGCCATTCCTTGTGTATAACACATTATGGTTATAACAAACTATAATGACCTAACCACAGTAGCTGGTGTGCTGGAACTGACCCCTGACTGAAGGATGTTGCCATTCCTTGTGTATAACACACTATGGTTATAACAAACTAAAGTTAGAAGTCTGTTTGAGTTGGTTGTAACCATGATTAAAGGGGCACCAATCCAGAGCAATTTCTGTGGACTGGTTGTTGCTTTTGTCAATGTTTTTCTTCCGTGAGTACCTGGATGATATCCCAGAATTCTTGACTGGTTTGTGACCTCTGCTGCGCCACCCGCAAGCACAATTGTTAGTACATGTATATGTATAGATAGATCAACAAAGATTAAATCTTTTTTACTTGATAATATTTCCATCTTCATTATTATGATAACAAATAAAAACACTTTGAAGTTTAACCATCTACCAGTGGTAAAAAATGTTAGGACAGAAATATAACGAAGTCAATGTACATCTTTATATTTTGTCTTATAATCCTAATTAGTATATTTTCTTATTTGTATGCATTTTGAAGCTTAATAAAAGCACATAATCTGCTTATACTTATCGTGAATTTATAACAGGACTGTAATATCTAGACATCTTATAGACTGCCAACATGAATCAAATTTCACACACACGCCCTGAGTGCGACCTAGTGTATGATGTCTGTCTCATTACACTTGACAACAACAAAAAATGATTCTGTTTAATGCTACAACACATGAATAAAAACAAAATGCAAATATTAAAATTAAAACAGACTAAAGTTAAACCCACCATCGTCAGGCTATTACCTTGTTCGAAGAATGTATCCATCAATATCCACATAAAGGAATTATATGTCATTCATCTGCAGCGTAGGCAAATATGCAATCTTTACAAATAAATGATGACGTTGATACAGAAAACTTCACAACAGTATATATGGGCAAACGACAATATTACCGTAGGTCAAAAACCTATTATTTATAAAGATTACTTGAAGGGAAATGTTAAATTCATTAATGATCTACTGAAAAAAGATAGTAATTTTCTTACCTATGAAGAGTTTATTTCCCTATATAATATTAAGACAATTTTTTTAGAATATAGGGTTATCATTAACTCCATAAAATCCTACTTACTTTCGAAAGAACTAACTCTGTGTAAAGTAGAGGAGCCATTTATTCCTAATAATATACATATGCTCTATAAAGAATGTAAAGGATGCAAGATTTTCTACTCTGTCTTGCTAAGGAAACATACATTAAAAGAAAAGCTAAATAGTCAACTTAAATGGGAAAGGGATATCAACGTAGATATATCAGAACAACTCTGGAAAGTTTTTAACTATGTACCTTTCAGAACAACTTGTAATACACACTTCAGATGGCTTCAATATAAAATTGTCCAAAGAATCATTACAACAAATAAGGATTTATTTAACTATAAACTGACACAATCTGCTTCTTGTACATTCTGTAAGGTTAAAATGGAATCAATTATCCACGTATTTTGTGAATGTGTACATGTGAAAACATTGTGGCAGCAACTAAAAGCCTGGATTGAACAAGAAACTTGAACCTGGCAACTAATTGCGTGATGTCCGCCATTCTTTAAAAAAAGTAATTTAGCCAGCCAATAATGAGCAATCAATCAACGTATTGGTGGTTAATCCTTTGAAGGGAGGACGTTGTTTTTACACTTTACGACAGGGTGTATTCAGTATAGATTTGTAAATCTACATACATAAACACTACCTTTTGTCAAATCTGCTGTGCACGATAACAGTAATTAATCAATCAGCGTGTTTATCGGTTAATCCTTTGATTGCTGTTTGTTTTTTGTAACTCAGCTGATAATTCCTCTTGCTGCACTTCCATGCACATATTACATAACATGTAATACATTTGTCACATCAGACCTTAATTTATAATGTTGACTATTTACTCCAGACACAAGAAATGCCAAATGGGAACCTTTGTCGGGTAATCTAAGTGTGTTACCACTAATCATACCTGTTATAAATTCATGAACTGACCATCAAGTGAATAATGACAACTAACATGTGTAGGTTTATACCACCTAATATGGGTTACAACAAGGGAGTATTAATTGCTGTATTGCATGCAATTCTAAATGCCTGAAAACACTTATGGGCCGACACTGTTTTGAGGATACGAACAGAACTTCGTTGTTGCATAAGAAATACATATAAACATTTGCTGTGTACTTAAGTTAAAACTGTATATACCTATTTAACCTAGGTAAATTTTCAGATTTTTTAGCAATGGCAAAGTGGGGTTGTTTAATTTATGGATTCAAATAAATCAAATGTGTGTTTTTAATATCATAGGTAATAGACATCATATTTTTACGTGACATGATTAAATATCGAGGTAGAAAACACAGAAATAGGATCAAATTAGATCAGACATTATACCATCCGGGCATTGGATACGTTATTGCAATCAGACAAGAAGTAACAGGGATATTTTCAAATTACGGCATCTGATGAACATCCACCCTTCCTAATGTCCCACTATTTAGGTTGGAGAAATTCTGCCAAGGTGGACAGTAGCCCAGTCCCCGTGTCGTAATTAGACTGTTGGCGAGAAACATTAATCGCTCTGGATCAGTGCCCCTTTAACTGTGTCTCAGTATAACCTGGGGCATACCATGTAGTGAGGTAGAGGAGTAGTGGTACCAGTCACCCAATAGCTTAACAAGTTTGTTCACCAAACATAGGTAATGTTATTTCCAACATTTGGTGTATTCAGAGCTTTTCCAAAGAGATATTTAAGTACTTAATGATGACATGGAAAACTGATTCTCACCAGAAAAACAAGTACAAGTGTCTGCCACTAACATGGCAGTGTCCCCGCCGCTAAAGAAGAATGAAATATAACATATGTACTAGTTTTTATTTTTTGGTCACATAGAAGATTACCTTTTGTGTGATATAGTTTTTAGTCATGGTCACTTCTCAGAACCTTCTCCTAACTCTGAAGATATTCCAGGAATATAGTAGATTTGAATGTATAGACGCAGATGCACATATCCACTGTCAGTATCAGTGTGTATTAGGCCCGAGATGGGTCCAAACTTTCTACCCAGGTATCACATCCTCTATTACCCTACCCTACATTGGGTACAACAGTTCATAAAATATCGTGTTCATGAAGAATCAGGATGTATGTACATACGGATGCTGCCAAATACATAGTCCTCCATTTCACATTGTGGCGGGGGGACAATAATTATAAACTCATCTGGCTAAAGTGCAATGGGAAATCATAAACAAAATATATTCACTTCTCCTGCATTCCATACTGTGTCACTATTGTGGAAAAACCAGTTGTACTTACTCGACCATAGACAAAGCAGAACAAAGTCACTCCCATGGCCCAAATGTCCAGAGCCTGAAACAGTCAATAGACATGAACTGTAGCAACAACAAACCTGTACCTTAAATCTTCAGACATACACGGTAACATTAACAGTCAAACACTGCAACATCAACAGTCATACACTGCAACATCACCGACATACACTGCAACATCACCGACATACACTGTAACACTAACAGTCATACACTGTAACATCAACAGTCATAGACTGTAACATCACCGACATACACTGCAACATCACCAACATACACTGTAACATCACCGACATACACTGTAACATCAACAGTCATACACTGCAACATCAACAATCATACACAGCAACATCACCGACATACACTGTAACATCAACAGTCAAACACTGCAACATCAACAGTCAAACACTGTAACATCAACAGTCATACACTGTAACATCACCAACATACACTGTAACATCAACAGTCATACACTGTAACATTAACAGTCATACACTGCAACATCAACAATCATACACAGCAACATCACCGGCATACACTGTAACATCACCGACATACACTGTAACATCACCAACATACACTGTAACATCAACAGTCATACACTGTAACATTAACAGTCATACACTGCAACATCAACAATCATACACAGCAACATCACCGACCTACACTGTAACATCAACAGTCATACACTGTAACATTAACAGTCATACACTGCAACATCACCAACATACACTGCAACATCACCGACATACACTGTAACATCAACAGTCATAGACTGTAACATCAACAATCATACACTGTAACATCACCAACATATACTGTTACATCACCAACATACACTGTAACATCACCAACATGCACTGCAACATCACCAACATACACTGCAACATCACCGACCTACACTGTAACATCAACAGTCATACACTGTAACATCAACAATCATACACTGTAACATCAACAGTCACACACTGCAACATCACCAACATACACTGCAACATCAACAATCATACACTGTAACATCACCGACATACACTGCAACATTACCAACATACACCGTAACATCACCAACATACTGTAAACGTACTTATTTCCGCGTGGTGCAATTTTCGCGGAATTGACAGTTTAGACTACTTCGCGCGGTCAATTATTCGCGCAATCAGTAATTGCCGGAACTGCCAGCTGTCTCTTTGGCCGCCACTAATAGCTGTGAAAACAAACAGAGTGGCTTAACCTGTCAGGCGGCGTTTATTGCTTACTCACAGGAAATCCCTCTCTGTGCGATATACTAGTACACAGTAATCCGTTTACTCCCGGAAGAGATGAAAAACACATCAGTCTTATGTTCCGAATTCTGACGATTTGACGAATTAACTTATACTGTATATGAAGCTCTTTGTGATTTCAAACAAGCCGGGGTTGTTGTGAATGAGATGATTGAGTGTTAGTGACTATTAAGCTTCATGATGTACTGGTGAATAAAATCTTAATGAATAGATAAAATACTGCTGTATTATTTCTTTCCGAGTCGTTTCACGGTAATCTGTTTTGTATCAAACCATGTCATGTGACCAATTTCCATGGCGGCCACAACACACATTGCTGTTTTAAGCTAATTCGGCATTGGGATTTGGCTCATTATTTAATTATGTTTTGGAAAATCCATTGCAGCGACAGTTAAGTATGATCAGTCGTCATTTTAAGATTCCCGTTGATTTCTGTCTTCAAACGTGATGTGTTATGGTAACAACTCAGGGGCGAGCGTGGCTAGACTGAATGAATGACAGGTTTATTCGCGGTGTATAAATTTTCGCGCTAAAATGTTTTGAGCGAAAAGCGTGAAAATAAAACCTGCTCGAAATATAATACGTTTACAGTACACTGTAACATCACCAACATACACTGTAACATCACCAACATACACTGTAACATCAACAGTCATACACTGTAACATCACCGACATACACTGCAACATCACCAACATACACTGTAACATCAACAGTCATACACTGTAACATCAACAGTCATACACGGTAACATCACCGACATACACTGTAACATCACCGACATACACTGTAACATCACCGACATACACTGTAACATCACCATAAACTGCAACATCACCAACATACACTGTAACATCACCAACATACACTGTAACATCACCAACATACACTGTAACATCACCAACATACACTGTAACATCACCAACATACACTGTAACATCACCAACATACACTGTAACATCACCAACATACACTGTAACATCACCAACATAAACTGTAACATCACCAACATACACTGCAACATCACCAACATACACTGCAACATCACCAACATACACTGTAACATCACCAACATACACTGTAACATCAACAGTCATGCACTGTAACATCAACAGTCATGCACTGTAACATCAACAGTCATACACTATAACATCAACAGTCATACACTGTAACATCAACAGTCATACACTATAACATCACCAACATACACTGTAACATCACCAACATACACCGTAACATCACCAACATACACTGTAACATCAACAGTCATGCACTGTAACATCAACAGTCATACACTATAACATCACCAACATACACTGTAACATCACCAACATACACTGTAACATCACCAACATACACTGTAACATCACTGACCTACACTGTAACATCACCGACCTACACTATAACATTAACAGTCATACACTATAACATCACCAACATACACTGTAACATCACCAACATACACTGTAACATCACCAACATACACTGTAACATCACCAACATACACTGTAACATCACCAACATACACTGTAACATCACCGACCTACACTATAACATCAACAGTCATACACTGTAACATCAAAGACCTACACTATAACATCAACAGTCATACACTGTAACATCACCGACCTACACTATAACATCAACAGTCATACACTATAACATCAACAGTCATACACTGTAACATCAACAGTCATACACTATATGAAGTTCTGGACTTCCCCAGCACCAGCAGAAGCTCCCTCTCAGACTCACCTTCCCGCTGTATTTCTCACGCTCCTCTGAAACAATAAATGTTGACATAAGCTGGACTGGCACTTATGCACATGTAAGTCTACCCTACATACCCTATAAGTTGGCTACCACTGGCTATCAGCCTGCTCTACATCAACACACTGGGTGGCTACCACTGGCCATCAGCCTGCTGTACATCCACACACAGGGTGGCTACCACTGGCCATCAGCCTGCTGTACATCAACACACAGGGTGGCTACCATTGGCCATCAGCCTGCTGTACATCCACACACAGGGTGGCTACCACTGGCTATCAGCCTGTCGTACATCAACACACAGGGTGGCTACCACTGGCCATCAGCCTGCTGTACATCAACATACAGGGTGGCTACCACTGGCTATCAGCCTGCTGTACATCAACACACAGGGTGGCTACCACTGGCCATCAGCCTGCTGTACATCAACACATAGGGTGGCTACCAATGGCTATCAGCCTGCTGTAAATCCACACACAGGGTGGCTACTACTGGCCATCATCCTGCTGTACATCAACACACAGGGTGGCTACCACTGGCCATCAGCCTGCTGTACATCAACACACAGGGTGGCGACCACTGGCCATCAGCCTACTGTACATCCACACACAGGGTGGCTACCACTGGCCATCAGCCTGCCATACATCCATACACAGGGTGGCTACCACTGGCCATCAGCCTGCCATACATCCACACACAGGGTGGCTACCACTGGCCATCAGCCTGCCATACATCAACACACAGGGTGGCTACCACTGGCCATCAGCCTGCCATACATCCATACACAGGGTGGCTACCACTGGCCATCAGCCTGCCATACATCCATACACAGGGTGGCTACCACTGGCCATCAGCCTGCCATACATCCACACACAGGGTGGCTACCACTGGCCATCAGCCTGCCATACATCAACACACAGGGTGGCTACCACTGGCCATCAGCCTGCTGTACATCAACACACACGGTGGCTACCACTGGCCATCAGCCTACTGTACATCAACACACAGGGTGGCTACCACTGGCTATCAGCCTGCTGTACATCAACACACAGGGTGGCTACCACTGGCCATCAGCCTGCTGTACATCAACACACAGGGTGGCTACCACTGGCCATCAGCCTGCTGTACATCAACACACACGGTGGCTACCACTGGCCATCAGCCTGCTGTACATCAACACACAGGGTGGCTACCACTGGCCATCAGCCTGCTGTACATCAACACATAGGGTGGCTACCACTGGCTATCAGCCTGCTGTACATCCACACACAGGGTGGCTACTACTGGCCATCAGCCTGCTGTACATCAACACATAGGGTGGCTACCACTGGCCATCAGCCTGCTGTACATCCACACACAGGGTGGCTACCACTGGCCATCAGCCTGCTGTACATCAACACACAGGGTGGCTACCACTGGCCATCAGCCTGCTGTACATCCACACACAGGGTGGCTACCACTGGCCATCAGCCTGCTGTACATCAACACACAGGGTGGCTACCACTGGCCATCAGCCTGCCATACATCCACACACAGGGTGGCTACCACTGGCCATCATCCTGCTGTACATCCACACACAGGGTGGCTACCACTGGCCATCAGCCTGCCATACATCCATACACAGGGTGGCTACCACTGGTTGTGCTATCCTCCATCCCCCATGCCTATTAGTTATGTCCCAGCAGTCAGCAATATTCCAGCCATATGACAGGTAAATATGAGGTTAACAGCAAAAAACATTTGAGCTATGATACCTCTGCTCAGGTCCCACATTGGATATATTGGTCAGTTGTGACTACTAATATGTGCGTGGTATTAAGTGCATTTTGTGTTGACACTTTCATGGGGTACATATAGTAATGCTATTTAAGAGTACGGGGAACCAACCTTTCAGTGTCTCTGGTGCCATGAAGGCAGGGGTTCCCGCTGTGTTGGTGAGAAAAGCATCACCACCACTGAACTCATTACTCACACCAAAGTCAGCAATCTGTGAAGAAACACATGGCACTTGGGATCACCTTCATAATATACACTACAATGTCCTGTACATAATGGCAGTGTTCTATACAGTACTACAATGTCCTGTACATAATGGCAGTTTTCTTTACAGAACTACAATGCACTCTACATAATGGTAGTGTTTTATACAGTTCTACAATGTACTCTACATAGTGGTAGTGTTCTATACAGTATTACAATGTTCTGTACATAATGGTAGTGTTCTATACAGTACTACAATGTTCTGTACATAATGGCAGTGTTCTATACAGTATTACAATGTACTCTACATAATGGTAGTGTTCTATACAGTACTACAATGTCCTGTACATAATTGCAGTGTTCTATACAGAACTACAATGCACTCTACATAATGGTAGTGTTTTATACAGTTCTACAATGTACTCTACATAATAGTAGTGTTCTATACAGTACTACAATGTCATATACATAATGGTAGTGTTCTATACAGTTCTACAATGTACTCTACATAATAGTAGTGTTCTATACAGTACTACAATGTACTCTACATAATGGTAGTGTTCTATACAGTACTACAATGTCCTGTACATAATGGCAGTGTTCGATACAGTACTACAATGTCCTGTACATAATGGCAGTGTTCTATACAGTACTACAATGTCCTGTACATAATGGCAGTGTTCTATACAGTACTACAATGTCCTGTACATAATGGCAGTGTTCTATACAGTACTACAATGTCCTGTACATAATGGTAGTGTTCTATACAGTACTACAATGCCCTGTACATAATGGCAGTGTTCTATACAGTACTACGATGTCCTGTACATAATGGTAGTGTTCTATACAGTACTACAATATACTGTATATAAAGGAACTGTTCTTCTATATAGTACTACAATATACTGTACATAATGGCAGTATTCGATACAGTACTACAATGTCCTGTACATAATGGCAGTGTTCTATACAGAACTACAATGTTCTGTACATAATGGTAGTGTTCTATACAGTACTACAATGTTCTGTACATAATGGCAATGTACTGTACATAATGGCAGTGTTCTATACAGTACTACAATGTTCTGTACATAATGGCAGTGTTCTATACAGTACTACAATGTACTCTACATAATGGTAGTGTTCGATACAGTACTACAATGTCATACTTAATGGTAGCGTTCTATACAGTACTACAATGTACTCTACATAATGGTAGTGTTCTATACAGTACTACAATGTCCTGTACATAATGGCAGTGTTCCATACAGAACTACAATGCACTCTACATAATGGTAGTGTTTTATACAGTTCTACAATGTACTCTACATAGTAGTAGTGTTGTACACAGTATTACAATGTTCTGTACATAATGGCAGTGTTCTATACAGTACTACAATGTACTCTACACAATGGTAGTGTTCTATACAGTACTACAATGTCCTGTACATAATGGCAGTGTTCTATACAGTACTACAATGTCCTGTACATAATGGCAGTGTTCTATACAGTACTACAATGTCCTGTACATAATGGCAGTGTTCTATACAGTACTACAATGTCCTGTACATAATGGCAGTGTTCTATACAGTACTACGATGTCCTGTACATAATGGTAGTGTTCTATACAGTACTACAATATACTGTATATAAAGGAACTGTTCTATACAGTACTACAATATACTGTACATAATGGCAGTATTCGATACAGTACTACAATGTCCTGTACATAATGGCAGTGTTCTATACAGAACTACAATGTTCTGTACATAATGGTAGTGTTCTATACAGTACTACAATGTTCTGTACATAATGGCAATGTACTGTACATAATGGCAGTGTTCTATACAGTACTACAATGTTCTGTACATAATGGCAGTGTTCTATACAGTACTACAATGTACTCTACATAATGGTAGTGTTCGATACAGTACTACAATGTCATATACTTAATGGTAGCGTTCTATACAGTACTACAATGTACTCTACATAATGGTAGTGTTCTATACAGTACTACAATGTCCTGTACATAATGGCAGTGTTCTATACAGAACTACAATGCACTCTACATAATGGTAGTGTTTTATACAGTTCTACAATGTACTCTACATAGTAGTAGTGTTCTACACAGTATTACAATGTTCTGTACATAATGGCAGTGTTCTATACAGTACTACAATGTACTCTACACAATGGTAGTGTTCTATACAGGACTACAATGTCCTGTACATAATGGCAGTGTTCGATACAGTACTACAATGTCAGATACATAATGGTAGAGTTCTATACAGTACTACAATGTCAGATACATAATGGTAGTGTTCTATACAGTACTACAATGTCCTGTACATAATGGTAGTGTTCGATACAGTACTACAATGTACTCTACATAATGGTAGTGTTCTATACAGTACTGCAATGTTCTGTACATAATGGTAGTGTTCTATACAGTACTACAATGTTCTGTACATAATGGCAGTGTTCTATACAGTACTACAATGTCATATACATAATGGCAGTGTTCCATACAGTACTACAATGTCATATACATAATGGTAGTGTTCTATACAGTACTACAATATACTGTATATAAAGGTACTGTTCTATACAGTACTACAATATACTGTACATAATGGCAGTGTTCGATACAGTACTACAATGTTCTGTACATAATGGCAGTGTTCGATACAGTACTACAATGTTCTGTACATAATGGCAGTGTTCTATACAGTACTACAATGTACTGTACATAATGGTAGTGTTCTATACAGTACTACAATAAACTGTACATAATGGTAGTGTTCTATACAGTACTACAATGTTCTGTACAGTACTGCAATGTTCTGTATGTTGTGGTAGTATTCAATTCAGTACTACAATGTTCTGTACCTCCATGCTGTCCTAGTGTACTACAATGTTCTGTACCTCCATGTACTACGTGCTGTCCTAGTGTACTACAATGTTCTGTACCTCCATGTACTACATGCTGTCCTAGTGTACTACAATGTTCTGTACCTCCATGTACTACATGCTGTCCTAGTGTACTACAATGTTCTGTACCTCCATGTACTACGTGCTGTCCTAGTGTACTACAATGTTCTGTACCTCCATGTACTATGTGCTGTCCTAGTGTACTACAATGTTCTGTACCTCCATGTACTATGTGCTGTCCTAGTGTACTACAATGTTCTGTACCTCCATGTACTATGTGCTGTCCTAGTGTACTACAATGTTCTGTACCTCCATGTACTACATGCTGTCCTAGTGTACTACAATGTTCTGTACCTCCATGTACTACATGCTGTCCTAGTGTACTACAATGTTCTGTACCTCCATGTACTATGTGCTGTCCTAGTGTACTACAATGTTCTGTACCTCCATGTACTACATGCTGTCCTAGTGTACTACAATGTTCTGTACCTCCATGTACTATGTGCTGTCCTAGTGTACTACAATGTTCTGTACCTCCATGTACTACATGCTGTCCTAGTGTACTACAATGTTCTGTACCTCCATGTACTACATGCTGTCCTAGTGTACTACAATGTTCTGTACCTCCATGTACTATGTGCTGTCCTAGTGTACTACAATGTTCTGTACCTCCATGTACTATGTGCTGTCCTAGTGTACTACAATGTTCTGTACCTCCATGTACTACATGCTGTCCTAGTGTACTACAATGTTCTGTACCTCCATGTACTACATGCTGTCCTAGTGTACTACAATGTTCTGTACCTCCATGTACTATGTGCTGTCCTAGTGTACAACATATCCTCACCTTTATGTGACCATCATCAGTCAGCAGTAGATTGGAAGGTTTGATGTCTCGATGAACAATCTTCTGATGATGTACTGCAACAAATGTATATATTTAGCATGAAACAGTCTGTATATTGTTGTAATCAGTATGTGATCGTCCCCTCAAAGTAGCTATTGCCAGGAGCATGTGGAATCACTGCAGTGTAGTTAACCATCACTGGTAGAAACAGTCAGCTGGTTCGAGACTGTGGTACATGGAACCCACCATATGGTTCTTAGGCTCATGATATGTGAATGTATGATAGGTAGAATCCATGATATGCTTCTTGGGCCAATGCTATGTGAATTTATGATGGAAAGAATCCATGACACTGAAACGGTTAAGGCATTGTGCTTGTAATTATTATACATCTCTTTTAAAATGCTCATAGGATGCAGTTACCTTACCAGGTCCATCGTCAGCACAGATACAAGAGGGGTTAGCTGTACCAGCAGAAGGTCATAATCTCTATATCGGTGAATGAATTTCAAGTTAAATGACCTGTCCTAAATCTGGGGACAGTGGTTCATTTGATACTACAACTGGTGCAGAAGCCATCCATGTGAAGTCCACACCTGCTTCAGTGGGATTCCTAGTGTTACTACATGGCATTGTGTAGTCACTCATACTAGTACTCTGTACTTTTCTTCATACTTACAATATTCAATGCCGAGTATCATGTCACGAAAGTAGCACCAAGCCTGGTTTTCGGAAAAAGGATTTGACGTTGGTACTGCCATCACCTCCCTATAATGGAGAAGATGATGTACAAAAACAGCTTACATTATGTACATTGACCAAACAACAACGTACATGACAATGACCAAATAACATTGTGTACAGAATAATTGCTGCAATATGAGTGTTAGAGCCTTCATTTAAAAATGTCAAAGAAATTCATCCCTACCAATAACATTTACACCCACGGCGGTGTACAAAGCGACCTCTGTACTTAGGTGATGGTAACTCTCATATCTTAACATGGACTTACAGCCCTACCAATAACATTTACACCCACGGCGGTGTACAAAGTGATTTCTGCACTTAGGTGATGGTAACTCTCATACCTTAACATGGACTTACAGCCCTACCAATAACATTTACACCCATGGCGGTGTACAAAGCGATTTCTGCACTTAGGTGATGGTAACTCTCATACCTTAACATGGACTTACAGCCTTACCAATAACATTTACACCCACGGTGTACAAAGCGATCTCTGTACTTAGGTGATGGTAACTCTCATACCTTAACATGGACTTACAGCCTTACCAATAACATTTACACCCACGGCGGTGTACAAAGCGATCTCTGTACTTAGGTGATGGTAACTCTCATACCTTAACATGGACTTACAGCCTTACCAATAACATTTACACCCACCGGCGATTGGGATTAGGTGTACAAAGCGATCTCTGCACTTAGGTGATGGTAACTCTCATATCTTAACATGGACTTACAGCCCTACCAATAACATTTACACCCGCGGTGACCCTTAGGTGATGGTAACTCTCATACCTTAACATGGACTTACAGCCTTACCAATACAAAGCGGCGGATCTCTGCGATCTTAGGGTGATGGTAACTCTCATACCTTAACATGGACTTACAGCCCTACCAATAACATACACATTTACAAAGCGATCTCTGCACTTAGGTGATGGTAACTCTCATACCTTAACATGGACTTACAGCCCTACCAATAACATTTACACCCACGGCGGTGTACAAAGCGATCTCTGCACTTAGGTGATGGTAACTCTCATACCTTAACATGGACTTACAGCCCTACCAATAACATTTACACCCACGGCGGTGTACAAAGCGATCTCTGTACTTAGGTGATGGTAACTCTCATATCTTAACATGGACTTACAGCCCTACCAATAACATTTTGTACAAAGCGATCTAGGTGATGGTAACTCTCATACCTTAACATGGACTTACAGCCCTACCAATAACATTTACACCCACGGCGGTGTACAAAGCGATCTCTGCACTTAGGTGATGGTAACTCTCATACCTTAACATTTACACCCATGGTGTTGTACAAAGCGATCTACTTAGCTCCTAACATGGACTAACAGCCCTACAATGACATGGTGCTGATTATTTCACTTCATTTTGGGCTTGGTGAAATTCCCACCCTGATCAGTAGATGACAGGGCATTATATTTGCAGTACAGTACCAGTGGTTACAAAGGGGAACTACTTTCAAAAGGTATGCTGGTTGTTGTGAGGAATTAGTTCAGCAAAGAGTCAAAAGTCACACAAAACGTGAATTACAAATTTATTTACAGAAACAGAGTAACATTGTCTTACATATAGCTGGGGTGGCCACAGAGAGTCGGTACAACCCTCTGGGCTGAGGGCTTGAGCTAACCTGTGTTGGGGGTGTAAACCCTACTGCCTAACATTTGATCTATCAAATGGAAACGTTTTTTCACTCAAGATCAAGTCACACCATCTATCCGCTTTATCTGGATCTCTTAGGCCCACTGCTAGAAAGTAATTGATATACTTTAGTAACTGACAAAAATAGTCAGATATTAACTTACCCTTTTTCCACAAGTTCAAAAACTGCAAAAAAAAATGCATAAATGTCACAATCGTAACTTAAATGACACAGTTCATCTCAGACAAGTCAATATTATTATTATTATAGGATATTTCTATAGCCTACATATCCAGGCAACTAGTACATGCTCAAGGCACTGGTATTTTTTTCCCCCTCGATCTTTGGATGTCAATCTCAACTGCACATCTTATTATCAATCTCAACTCCCTGGGGATCATACAACTCTTGCAGCCACTAGGCGCACCGAGCTACTGCGGCTTTCTCATCCTAACAAGGTACCCATTCACAGCTTGGTGGACTGGAAAACATAGTCACATTACTTTGTCCAAGTTTACTGCGTGTTGGGGTACTCGCAACTGAGTGTTTGCATGCATTCATGTGGCCACCATCTGGTCATATACCAACAGATTTGTGGGTTCTTTTAAGTGCACAGGGTTGTGCACTGTACACTAGGGGTTGTGACAACACTGAAAGAGTCTGCACACAAAGTTGACTCCAAGATTCAATATGACAGATACATGACACGACAGAGGTCCAGTCTTCAGTATTTCATAGAGTATGCATGCAGTGTACATCAATAAAATAAACAGCTACTGACCCATGTACAAGTTGTCTTCTTCTGGGTCATCCAGCACTTCCACCAACTTGACAACATTAGGGTGATCAAGTTTCTTCAGGATTGCTATCTCTCGATAGACACGATCCAGAGGATTACTTGGACGGTTATTCTTACCATCTCGAGATGGGGGTGTGCGTCCTGGAACACAAACAACAGACATTGAGCTGTCCCTGACAAGTCAGTTAAACATACCCTTTGCACTCATGCATGTTTCAGAAGAAAATACATATACATATGTCTTCTTTTAATCTGTGTAATATATGCTTAAAAATTACAAAAAGATGTTATCTTCTCCGAAAAACGTCCTTGAAATTTGATCAACTTGACCAAAAGCTGGGCAACCGATAGTACTGTAGGGGAGAGGAGGGTATAACTGGAGAACAGAAGTCAAGTAATAAACCTCCTTAGTGTCCCAGGGAACAACCGGTATTGTTTGGCCAAGACTGAGCTATGAGGATGACTGCAAGTTCAAGCCCCATACTTTTCAGTATGATTTGTTGCTGTAGCAGCCATGGGAGAAATGCATACACAAATATCACTTCCCAAGTCATTGATGACATATAGTACTGAGGCCACATGACCTGATAACAAATACATGTATATAGGAACACTTACTGAAAAAACCTGCTTTTTTCATAAGCCGTTTCTTGGATAGAATTTTCATTGCCTGAAAAATAAAATAATAGTCTGTTATAAATCTTGTGCTATCTCCATACTCACATTCTCTTCTGTAAAACATATTATTTGAAAACATGACTGAATATCATTCGAATGGGAATATAATACACTCATGTCAAATAAATACACATTCCTCAAGATGATCATGTGAAGTCTGTAAGTCATCTTGTGCTGATAGTAGCAGTGAGTCAACTGTCAGGTCACAAGTCAGTATGTGGTATAACCACCTATACCATTGGCACTGGCTTCAAATGGTGCTTTGCTGACAGCATGATTGTTGCGGAAGTCATCAAACATTTAAAATGTTACAATCTAACATTTGTTCTAACATCCAACCCATTTAATACTATTCATAATATGATCTGCCTTCTGAAACATAACTGACTTATTTGTCAAGAAAATGTCTGTATGTCCAGTTGTAGATAATTAGCCCGGATCTATGTAAACATGGAGTGAAATAATTTACACATGAATATATCACCATATTTAAATTGTCATGGTGCCAGTGGTCACAGCAGTAAACAACACTGAGCCATACAGTCTTTGTACTACATTTTATACAGGAATAACGCTGGTGGCTGAGGATGCAGGGTCACAGCAGTCAACAACACTGACCCATACAGTCTTTGTACTACATTTTATACAGGAATAACGCTGGTGGCTGAGGATGCAGCGGTCACAGCAGTCAACAACACTGACCCATACAGTCTTTGTACAACATTTTATACAGGAATAACGCTGGTGGCTGAGGATGCAGTGGTCACAGCAGTCAACAACACTGACCCATACAGTCTTTGTACAACATACAGTCTTTGGTGGCTGAGGATGCACACGGCATTCATGACCCATAGGTCTTTGTACAACATTTTGGCTGAGGATGCAGCAGGGTCACAGCAGTCAACAACACTGAGCCATACAGTCTTTGTACTACATTTTATACAGGAATAACGCTGGTGGCTGAGGATGCAGCGGTCACAGCAGTCAACAACACACTACAGTCTTTGTACAGTCTTTATGCAGGAATAACACTGGTGGCTACATTTTATACAGGAATAACGCTGGTGGCTGAGGATGCAGCGGTCACAGCAGTCAACAACACTGACCCATACAGTCTTTGTACAACATTTTATACAGGAATAACGCTGGTGGCTGAGGATGCAGCGGTCACAGCAGTCAACAACACTGACCCATACAGTCTTTGTACTACATTTTATACAGGAATAACACTGGTGGCTGAGGATGCAGCAGTCACAGCAGTCAACAACACTGACCCATACAGTCTTTGTACTACATTTTATACAGGAATAATGCTGGTGGCTGAGGATGCAGCGGTCATCCATGGCTGGCATTACTTCAGGTCACCAATACACTTTACTGTTGCCACACAGAGTGGCCTTGATGTTAAAGGTCATCAAACAATGTGAGAAAAATGGCTTTAGTAAAGTTATGTTTGACATATGAACTACCCATGCACATACTGGCAATACTGCCTTAATGAAGCTATTATCCAGTTATTTCATTGGAGACCTTCAAACTGACCTTGACATTTGACACAACTTCAACTACATATGAGAGGGTTGAGTTAATCATGCTGAATCAATCATAAGTGGTTGCATAATGCTTAGGTTTCTCATCAGATTTTAATTTGATGAAGATTTATCGATGAATAACATGAATCATGTGATAAGTGTCATCCAATTCCAAATACTCAAGTAAATATGTATTCAAACCTTTTTACACCTAATTAACAAACTTGACCTTCAAGCTCAACCTATATGCTCCATCCAGCTGTGGTGGTGCCAGAATTTGGCAGCCAACTTTTTCCTTGTTTCTACTTTTTGAAGTTCTGGTAATTTTTGCATATAATCATGAGCACATGTGAATGAAGGAATTTTTATAGGTACAGTTTCTTCTTTAGAAAGGACACAAACCTTTGCAACCTTCATGATTTTGAGAAACTTGCTCATGTGGCAATGTTGATGTTTTTGTAAGACTGACATGTCGACATGACCACAGAGACAGAAAGTATGTACTCACATAATGTGTCTCATCCTCTTCACTGAACACCAACTTAACAATTCCATATGAACCCTGCAACACATGCAGAAAGTACTATACACAACAGTACACAATAGATGATGTCTGACGGTGGTCCATGCCAAGGCTGTACGAGGTGTCACCGATGTGTGGTTTAGCTTGTGTCATGCTTCATCAATGAAAGAAATGTAATTGATGACAGTTTTTAAAGACTATACAAAATGTAAAAAATATATCAGATCAATGCTGCCACATCAGCCCTCACACACACATCAGCTCTCACACACACATCAGCTATCACACACACATCAGCTCACACACACATCAGCTCACACACACATCAGCTCACACACACACATCAGCTATCACACACACATCAGCTCACACACACATCAGCTCTCACACACATCAGCTCTCACACACCTCTCTCACACACACACATCAGCTCTCAAACACTCATTATGCACAAAACACCAATACAGATCTTCTATGGCCACCCCAGATAGAGAAACAAGCTGAACCTACACGTGAACAACAAAGTTGGCTATTACTATGGATTCTGTAACTTGCAGATTTCGTCCAGTTTTTGAAATTCGAAAAAGGAAAATATAGTTGGATTAAAGCTCCATTTAGGTGAAACCAGTTGTATTAATAATATCATAAGGTTAATTGAGAAACTGGTTGCCATGGAAACAATTGATTTCCACATTTAAACTGAGAATCAACAAAATCAAAAGAGACTGGTAGTGTGATATCATCCTGAACAGTTTCACATTAATAAGTCATACAGTTTGAGAGCTGCTATTTTCACATTAGCCAGACCAATTTGATAGAATATTTATTAATGGAGGGAAGCTAAATATATATATATTTAAATGTGAATGCCATTAAAACTAATTAACCAACTAACAACTGTTAATGAAACAACTGTTTCAGATGAAAAACTGGATACACAATAGATCAAAACTGGATGAACACTGGATAAAAGTTGATGAAAACTGGATAAAAGTTGGATAGACAAGAAGTATGCTGCTGTCAGACAGTTACACAACTCCTGTTTCAGATACACGCTCCTGTCACATGACACACACTTCTGTCACATGATACACACATCTGTCACACCGATACACTCCTGTCACTATTACACACACCTGTCACACCGATACACACTCCTGTCACACTGATACACACTCCTGTCACACCGATACACACTCCTGTCACACTGATACACACTCCTGTCACACCAATACACACTCCTGTCACACTGATACACACTCCTGTCACACCGATACACACTCCTGTCACACCGATACACACTCCTGTCACACTGATACACACCTGTCACACTGACACACACTCCTGTAACCAATACACACATACCTGTCACACCGATACACACTCCTGTCACACCAATACACACTCCTGTCACACTGACACACACTCCTGTAACCAATACACACATACCTGTCACACCAATACACACTCCTGTCACACCAATACACACTCCTGTCACACTGATACACACTCCTGTCACACTGATACACACTCCTGTCACACCGATACACTCCTGTCACACTGATACACACTCCTGTCACACTGATACACACTCCTGTCACACCAATACACACTCTTGTCACACTGATACACACTCCTGTCACACCAATACACACTCCTGTCACACTGAACACACACACCTCTCACACTGACACACACTCCTGTAACCAATACACACATACCTGTCACACCGATACACACTCCTGTCACACCAATACACACTCCTGTCACACTGATACATGCTTCTGTCACATTGATACATGGTCCTGTCACACTGATACACGCTCCTGTCACACTGATACACACTCCTGTCACACCGATACACACTCCTGTCACACTGATACACACTCCTGTCACACCGATACACTCCTGTCACACTGATACACACTCCTGTCACACCGATACACATTCCTGTCACGCTGATACACACTCCTGTCACACTGATACACACTCCTGTCACACCAATACACTCTTGTCACACTGATACACACTCCTGTCACACCAATACACTCTTGTCACACTGACACACACTCCTGTCACACCGATACACTCCTGTCACACCGATACACACTCCTGTCACACCGATACACATTCCTGTCACACTGATACACTCCTGTCATACCAATACACTCTTGTCACACTGACACACACTCCTGTCACACCGATACACTCCTGTCACACCGATACACACTCCTGTCACACTGATACACATTCCTGTCACGCTGATACACACTCCTGTCACACTGATACACACTCCTGTCACACCAATACACACTCCTGTCACACCAATACACACTCTTGTCACACTGATACACACTCCTGTCACACCGATACACACTCCTGTCACACCGATACACACTCCTGTCACACTGATACACACACCTGTCACACTGACACACACTCCTGTAACCAATACACACATACCTGTCACACCGATACACACTCCTGTCACACCAATACACACTCCTGTCACACTGATACATGCTTCTGTCACATTGATACACGGTCCTGTCACACTGATACACGCTCCTGTCACACTGATACACACTCCTGTCACACCGATACACACTCCTGTCACACTGATACACACTCTTGTCACACCTATACACTCCTGTCACACCGATACACATTCCTGTCACACCGATACGCACTCCTGTCACTCTGATACACACTCCTGTCACACCAATACACACTCCTGTCACACTGATACACACTCCTGTCACACCGATACACACTCCTGTCACACTGATACACACACCTGTCAGACTGACACACACTCCTGTAACCAATACACACATACCTGTCACACCGATACACACTCCTGTCACACTGATACACGCTCCTGTCACATCGATACACACTCCTGTCACACTGATACACACTCATGTCACACAGTTACACACCACAGTCAAGGTACCACTACTACTGTTGCTGCTACCTACCTTTCCTATTTCATCCTTCATCTTGTACTGATTGAGTTGAATGTAGCCATCACTGTCTGAGACTGACACCCGATGTGTCTCCATAGTAGGTTGTCGACGAAGGCGAGGCGAGGCAGTAGGGGAGCCATATGGCGAATATGGAAGGGAGGGAAATATTGGTCTCTTTGCATTAGATGTTGTCAGTCGATCTTCAGAGTAACTGTAAATAATCTTTGGAGCTCGCTTAGAGTTGACACAACCATGAATATTGTAGTCTGAATTATCACTAGGACTACCAAGTGTTGTAAATGAGGAGCTGGTGTGTACGTCTGATTCCACCTGGGAGTCAGCAATGTAGTTCACAAAAGTGGGCACATTTAAATGTCCTGTTGCATCAACACATGCGATGCTGTGACGCCTGGCAACATCCAGTTCCTCTCGGAACACACTGCAGTCGATATTGTCTTCGTTTTCACTTGTTGAACTGCGACCTGAGTCACTTGTAATATTAGAACTTTTTCTTTGAAGTGGAAACTTTGTATGTGAGGAATTAGCTTGCTGTACAAATGTTATTGGTGTAATCACCCCCTGAAGAATCTAGATTCTCCTTGACACCCTCTATCTGTACTGTCTGCGTAGTTTGCTGCTGAGTCCCTGAGGTAGTGGTGATGACGACGTTGCGGATGTTCTCCTCTTTCTCCTCCTGAGAAACAGACCTGTTGACCGCGTCATCAGGAGTGTCCTGGCTCTGGTCAAAGTGACAGTTTCTGAAAGCAAGAACAAAGTCACTTCAGATGTATGACCACTGGGCATCATGGGGCTTATCATATTCTACAACCACCGTAGATTGGATCAATATGGATTGGACACATATCCCTACGCTCTGAAAGTTAAACAAGAATCAGTACAAATGTTACATACTGAAGTCTGTAAACAGTGATTTGATACATCAACAAGGTTGCAGAACTCTCTCCTAACTTAAGTTAGTTATGCAACAAGTAGGATACAAAACCTGAACATTCAATAGACTTCACACAGCAAGATCCTTGGTCTCCCTTGTTATGGACAAATCAGCATTGTAGGTCAAGGTCGGGAGCGAATCACAAACTACTTTCTCATGATGGGCTACTGCGGAGCACCAGATAAAGTTATGAGTATATATAGTTTATGAAAACACAGGAGCACCAGATAAAGTTATGAGTATTTTATGAAAATAAGCATTACTTAACCATTATGTTACCTGTTTTGCTAGGCAAAGCATAAATACAATGGTCACCAGTGTGACAATTTACAAAACCTTGGAACTGTTTACAGTCCAAATGTTAATTAGTTAAACTTTGGTCAGAGTGATTATTGTCATTTCGTGCATGATGAAGGCTTGCATGTAGGTTGTTCAGATATACTACCACAATGCATCATAACACAGACTTGCATGTACGTTGTTCAGATATACTACCACAATGCATCATAACACAGACTTGCATGTAGGTTGTTCAGATTTACTACCACAATGCATCATAACACAGACTTGCATGTAGGTTGTTCAGATTTACTACCACAATGCATCATAACACAGACTTGCATGTAGGTTGTTCAGATTTACTACCACAATGCATCATAACACAGACTTGCATGTAGGTTGTTCAGATTTACTACCACAATGCATCATAACACAGACTTGCATGTAGGTTGTTCAGATTTACTACCACAATGCATCATAACACAGACTTGCATGTAGGTTGTTCAGATATACTACCACAATGCATCATAACACAGACTTGCATGTAGGTTGTTCAGATTTACTACCACAATGCATCATAACACAGACTTGCATGTAGGTTGTTCAGATTTACTACCACAATGCATCATAACACAGACTTGCATGTAGGTTGTTCAGATTTACTACCACAATGCATCATAACACAGACTTGCATGTAGGTTGTTCAGATTTACTACCACAATGCATCATAACACAGACTTGCATGTAGGTTGTTCAGATTTACTACCACAATGCATCATAACACAGACTTGCATGTAGGTTGTTCAGATTTACTACCACAATGCATCATAACACAGACTTGCATGTAGGTTGTTCAGATTTACTACCACAATGCATCATAACACAGACTTGCATGTAGGTTGTTCAGATTTACTACCACAATGCATCATAACACAGACTTGCATGTAGGTTGTTCAGATTTACTACCACAATGCATCATAACACAGACTTGCATGTACATTGTTCAGATTTACTACCACAATGCATCATAACACAGACTTGCATGTAGGTTGTTCAGATTTACTACCACAATGCATCATAACACAGACTTGCATGTACGTTGTTCAGATTTACTACCACAATGCATCATAACACAGACTTGCATGTAGGTTGTTCAGATTTACTACCACAATGCATCATAACACAGACTTGCATGTAGGTTGTTCAGATTTACTACCACAATGCATCATAACACAGACTTGCATGTACGTTGTTCAGATTTACTACCACAATGCATCATAACACAGACTTGCATGTACGTTGTTCAGATTTACTACCACAATGTATCATAACACAGACTTGCATGTAGGTTGTTCAGATTTACTACCACAATGCATCATAACACAGACTTGCATGTAATGCTTGTTCAGATTTACTACCACAATGCATCATAACACAGACTTGCATGTTGGTTGTTCAGATTTACTACCACAATGCATCATAACACAGACTTGCATGTACGTTGTTCAGATATACTACCACAATGCATTATAACACAGACTTGCATGTAGGTTGTTCAGATATACTACCACAATGCATCATAACACAGACTTGCATGTACGTTGTTCAGATTTACTACCACAATGCATCATAACACAGACTTGCATGTACGTTGTTCAGATTTACTACCACAATGCATCATAACACAGACTTGCATGTACGTTGTTCAGATTTACTACCACAATGCATCATAACACAGACTTGCATGTATACTACCACAATGGTTGTTCAGATATACTACCACAATGCATCATAACACAGACTTGCATGTACGTTGTTCAGATTTACTACCACAATGCATCATAACACAGACTTGCATGTACGTTGTTCAGATATACTACCACAATGCATCATAACACAGACTTGCATGTAGGTTGTTCAGATATACTACCACAATGCATCATAACACAGACTTGCATGTACGTTGTTCAGATATACTACCACAATGCAGTATCATACAAAGGTTTAGGCCAGTCTGCTGAGCTACCACTATGACATCTGTTATAAATGTAAGCAATCAGGATTGTGTACAGATAACCTCCAGCAGTGAGTTATATCACCTGTATACGATCAATTATTGACTACTTGTCAGTGTCTAACACGCTCCAGGAAATAATCAATACGGATTTGTGTACTCTGCCCAATAAAACAATTACTGCTGTTACGCCAGACGGTAACACTTATCTATGGAGCCAGGCTTCACTTCCATGTACACGCTCCCTTCTGTGAAGTGACAACCATGAACAGTGCCATACAGCTCCATAGTAATCCATGAACAGTGCCATACAGCTCTATAGTAAACCATGAACAGTGCCATACAGCTCCATAGTAATCCAGGAACAGTTCCATAAAGCTCCATAGTAATCCAGGAACAGTGCAATACAGCTCCATAATAAACCATGGACAGTGCAATACAGCTCCATAGTAAACCATGAACAGTGCCATATAGCTCCATAGTACAACCATGAACAGTGCCATATAGCTCCATAGTACAACCATGAACAGTTCCATACAGCTCCATTAAGTACAACCATGAACAGTCCCATACAGCTACACAGTACAACCATGATAATGACAGTAGACCCATGCCACCACAATGAACTCTGCCAATGCACATGTTTCAGGTACTTGGACTGTACGAGTGTGTATTGTTGATGGGCACACCTACCTGGGCTGAGCCTTCATCCTTGGACAGAATCTCTTGTAATACAGCATGCACTCCAGCCTTACTGAATTACATGTACACTGTTATTGACCAATTCAATAAACACCTCAGTGAAAATGGAGGCTTGTCATAAATAACTCCTAAACCAATACCCCAAACTACACTTGTGAGATGTCAAGTTGATGCACAGTTGGCATGTGCTGCTGTCTGCAATGCCATCTGTGGGTCCAACCTCCATACTTCCTGGTCCCATGGGACATCTGCAGATCACACAGCTGTCAAGCAGAATCAATTCAAGCATACTCAAACAAAGCAAATGAAATTGTTTCACATGGAGAATCACAAAGTCATGTGGCTTAACTGCAGGTTTATTGATGAGTGTCCCGCCAGGTTATCAGTGCTATTCCCATCACAAGTTCTTCATTATACACAAACCATCCAGGCTTTCCAACATCGTGTATCAGATGAGTCCGCAATCCCAGCGCTTGAAGAGTCACCAGTAATGAAACTTTGTGGGTAGCAGATGGTCCACATAGTCAATTTCAGTATTTAATGTCCTTGTTTACAACACCTGACCCCAGATTTGTGGCCATACAGCAAACCTTGTGTGAGTGCCATCAACCTATACGATGTCCAGAAGGCAAACCAGAACAAGCTGTTTCTCTGTCTGCACATTCTGCTAAACATCTCACATGGTTCCCACATCTGCCTCCACACTATGACTGAATGGTGTTGTCCTGTATAACAGTCAGCACAAAGTGCAGTAATGACATGTGAGAACAACACAACTTACAAAGCTCTGCTCCTAACACACATACATCACAATACATAATTCATAGGCCATGGAAACAGCAGATATAAGACCATTCAGTTGCCAGTGGCTACAAGACAGGGGCCGTACTATGCTGGATCAGAAGGTGGTTTGTGTAAAACTCGTTAACAATCCTGGAGTACTGGAGTACTGGAGGATCACAAATTGATAAATCTACTGAGGAGACAAGAGTATCAACTTGAAATTCAACTAAAAGAAAATCTGCACAAGGCTAGATCAAGTTCCCTACACAGGACACATACTATAATTATAATAAAACAAGGGAAGGGTTAGAGCCATATCCCACAAAGGTGGTTGCTACTGGAGACATGCCAAGATGACAAAAGTGGGATACAGCATGTACCAGCATGGGTCAACTACTTGGTGACATTTCTGCCAAGGCTACCAGATGTGGACTTTATATAAAAATGAATCAGGAGATGTAATCCAGTGAATAATTTTGAACTGAAACAGTGAGTACATACATCTACCAGAATATTTAACACAGATTACCCAGAATATCCATAAGGCGAATGAATGCTGACAATAGCGCAGCAACCAATGGCCACCAAATTCATTGTACATGAAAGAAGAATATTATTCAATGGAGTTGTATGATAAGAAGTAGAGCTTAAGTTTTTTGGATCATAAGAAGGCATACATTATCAGAAGAAGGCAATGTTAACAGAGGTGGTGCCTTGCCTTTATATGAACCAGTGAATTACTATATCATCATGTCTACCAGTTGGGACAAGGTAGACATATTGCCATAATAAGCTTGGAAAAGCTATCTGGTAGACCCACACATTCTGCCCAACAAACAGTCCGTTTCTAGCTACCACTGGCAGGTGGCCACAGATGGTCTGCACCAGTAACCATACTTTATTACTTTAGGTACCGGTGGGATATGGGTTCACAGGATGTAACATAGAATACATAAATAATTCTGTGACAACTAAACAACACGACCCTCACAAACAGTAAATGATGTATATACCTGGATAGGTGGGTCACATTGGGTCAATATTGCAGTTCTGTCCTGGATAACTGGGTCATTGCAGTTCTGTCCTGGATAATTGGGTCACATTGGGTCAATATTGCAGTTCTGTCCTGGATAATTGGGTCATTGCAGTTCTGTCCTGGATAATTGGGTCACATTGGGTCAATATTGCAGTTCTGTCCTGGATAATTGGGTCGCATCAATATTGCAGTTCTGTCCTGGATAATTGGGTCGCATCAGCATTGCAGTTCTGTCCTGGATAATTGGGTCGCATCAATATTGCAGTTCTGTCCTGGATAATGGGGTCACATCAATATTGCAGTTCTGTCCTGGAAAATTGGGTCGCATCAATATTGCAGTTCTGTCCTGGATAATTGGGTCATTGCAGTTCTGTCCTGGATAATTGGGTCACATCAATATTGCAGTTCTGTCCTGGATAATTGGGTCACATCAATATTGCAGTTCTGTCCTGGATAATTGGGTCACATCAATATTGCAGTTCTGTCCTGGATAATTGGGTCGCATCAATATTGCAGTTCTGTCCTGGATAATTGGGTCACATCAATATTGCAGTTCTGTCCTGGATAATTGGGTCACATCAATATTGCAGTTCTGTCCTGGATAATTAGGTCACATCAATATTACAGTTCTGTCCTGGATAATTGGGTCACATCAATATTGCAGCTCTGTCCTTGATAATTGGGTCGCATCAATATTGCAGCCCTGTCCTTGATAATTAGGTCACATCAATATTACAGTTCTGTCCTGGATAATTGGGTCACATCAATATTGCAGTTCTGTCCTGGATAATTGGGTCACATCAATATTGCAGTTTTGTCCTGGATAATGGGGTCACATCAATATTGCAGTTCTGTCCTGGATAATGGGGTCACATCAATATTGCAGTTCTGTCCTGGATAATTGGGTCACATCAATTATTGCAGTTCAGTCCTGGATAATGGGGTCACATCAATATTGCAGTTCTGTCCTGGATAATTGGGTCACATCAATTATTGCAGTTCTGTCCTGGATAATGGGGTCACATCAATATTGCAGTTCTGTCCTGGATAATGGGGTCACATCAACATTGCAGTTCTGTCCTGGATAACTGGGTCACATCAATTATCGCAGTTCTGTCCTGGAAAATGGGGTCACATCAATATTGCAGTTCTGTCCTGGATAATGGGGTCACATCAATATTGCAGCTCTGTCCTGGATAATTGGGTCACATCAATATTAGTATAATAATGTTAGTCTACATAGAACAAGGTGTTTATAAATACAGATACCCTACCTGACAGTCGAAGTACAGGGTGGGTTGTGTCCAGTCATCTACAAGAAGATGTTTATAGATATCCTACCTGACAATCGAAGTACAGGATGGGTTGTGTCCAGTCATCTACAAGAAGATGTTTATAGATATCCTACCTGACAGTCAAAGTACAGGATGGGTTGTGTCCAATCATCTACAAGAAGATGTTTATAGATATCCTACCTGACAGTCGAAGTACAGGGTGGGTTGTGTCCAGTCATCTACAAGAAGATGTTTATAGATATCCTACCTGACAGTCGAAGTACAGGGTGGGTTGTGTCCAGTCATCTACAAGAAGATGTTTATAGATATCCTACCTGACAGTCGAAGTACAGGGTGGGTTGTGTCCAGTCATCTACAAGAAGATGTTTATAGATATCCTACCTGACAGTCGTAGTACAGGGTGGGTTGTGTCCAGTCATCTACAAGAAGATGTTTATAGATATCCTACCTGACAGTCGTAGTACAGGGTGGGTTGTGTCCAGTCATCTACAAGAAGATGTTTATAGATATCCTACCTGACAGTCGAAGTACAAGGTGGGTTGTGTCCGGTCATCTACAACAAGGTGTTTATAGACAGCCTACCTGACAGTCGAAGTACAAGGTGGGTTGTGTCCAGTCATCTACAACAAGGTGTTTATAGACAGCCTACCTGACAGTCGAAGTACTGTATAAGGTGGGTTGTGTCCGGTCATCTACAACAAGGTGTTTATAGACAGCCTACCTGACAGTCGAAGTACAAGGTGGGTTGTGTCCAGTCATCTACAACAAGGTGTTTATAGACAGCCTACCTGACAGTCGTAGTACAGGGTGGGTTGTGTCCAGTCATCTACAAGAAGATGTTTATAGATATCCTACCTGACAGTCGAAGTACAAGGTGGGTTGTGTCCGGTCATCTACAACAAGGTGTTTATAGACAGCCTACCTGACAGTCGAAGTACAAGGTGGGTTGTCAGCTAGTCCTTCAAATTGTGACACCCTGACAAAGCATTTCAGTTGGAGCACAGCAAAATAAACAATCCATGCTAACATGTGGTCTAGTGACCTACTTATCGTGGTAGCTGACAGCAACGTTAGCTTGTATTGATCAGACACCTGATCACCTGCTGTCTTGTGTACCGTTGTTTCCTACCTATAACTGCCACCAGAACACAAGCAATGCAGAGTGCTTCTCACAAAGACCTCACAATAGGATACAAGGTGCTAATCACGCAGTGCCTGCCATGTGAGACTTGAGGAAGGCACTCCTGTGTTGTATACCTTGCTCCAGTAATTGTCCTACACATTGGAATGAAAGCTGCATCCCTTTAATAATCTGACAATCTGCTAACTTAATGAGATACTTATTGGAGGAAATGTTTGAAAATTGATAATAGATATATAATAAATTGTACCAAGTTTCAAATTGAGCTAAATGCTATATGTAATGAAATGATCATCCTTCCAGTAAGTGTACCTGTTACTAAAGCCTGGTTATGCGGTCATGTTGTAAAGTGTGACGAGTGTAAAACTCAGTGTGATGTTGTAAAACTTTTTGACAAGAAAAATTCCTGTGAAGCATTAAAACATTTCATAAAGCATCAGTAAGTTACAGGATTTTACAAGATGAATAGCAAAGGCAAATATTGATAGCAGATTATTGGGCCTTACTGTTAATCATGAAATAATGTGAGCATGTAATACATTTGAGTATGACATTAATGCTTAAAATTCGAGCATCCCTTGCTTGTATTAATACAGTGACACATTATCTTGACATGTATTGGAGTGTATTGTCACGTCAGGTTCACGGAACATGGCCGGAATCGCCCAGCTGAAATGAGCATGTAAAAGACCATGGTTCACAGACCATGGTTGACCATGGTGTACCATAGCTTACCACGTCCGGTAAATGGCA